ATGAACAAGCAAGTACTCAGAGATTTTATTACCACCAGGCCTGCTTTACAAGAACTTCTGAAAGAAGCATTACACATAGAAAGGAACAACCAGTATGAGCCTTTCTAAAAATATACCAAAAAGTAAAGAGCACCAACATAAAGAAGAATTTACATCAACGAATGAATAAAATAGCCAGTTAATATCAAATGGCAGTAACCCTAAATTTAAATCGACTAAATCCCCCAATCAAAAGATAGAGCCAAAACCTAACTGTATGCTACATCCAGACCCATTTTATATCCAAAGATACACAAAGACTCAAAACAAAGGGTTGGAGAAAAATTTACCAACCAAATGGAAAGCAAAAATAAATAAATAAACTAAAAGCAGGAGTTGCAATTCTCGCATTTGATAAAATAGATTTCAAAGCAACAAAGATACAGTGGTAAAAGGATCAATGCAACAATAAGAGCTAATGATCCTAACACCCAGACACATAAGACCCATAAAGAGATTTAGATTCGATGAGACAGAAAATAAATAAGGATATCCAGGACTTGAACACAGATCCGGAACAAGTAAACTTAATATTTATAGAGCTCTCCACTTTAAATACACAAAATATACATTCTCCACTTTAAATACACAAAATATTGATCGGCCATTATTAATACCCATTTTTAGAATAAAGCAATATTCCTGTTCTGTTCTCTCTCCCTCTTTTTCTTCCTCTTTCTTCCTCTCCTTTTCTCCTTTTTTTTTCTTTCAAAAAAAAAAAGAGATAAGGCTGGTCGAGGTGGCTCACACCTATAATCCCAGCACTTTGGGAGGCCGAGGCGGGTGGATCACGAGGTCAAGAGATCGAGACCATCCTGGTCGACAAGGTGAAACCCCGTCTCTACTAAAAATACAAAAATTAGCTGGGCACGGTGGTGAGCACCTGTAGTCCCAGCCACTCGGGAGGCTGAGGCAGGAGAATTGCTTGAACCCAGGAGGCGGAGGTTGCGGTGAGCCGAGATCGTGCCATTGCACTCCAGTCTGGGTAACAACAGCAAAACTCTGTCTCAAAAAAATAAATAAATAAATAATAAAAATAAAAGAGATAAGGTCTTTGTCGCCCAGGCTGGACTGCAGTGGTATGACCACAGCTCACTGCAGCCTGCATGCAACCCCTGGGCTCAAGTGACCCTACTACCTCAGCCTCCTGAGTAAGTGGGACTACAGGCATGCACCACCTTGCCCAGTCCTGGGGGGTCCATCGATCCTCCCACTGCCTCCCAAAGTGCTGGGATTACAAGTGTGAGACACCGCACCTGGCCTGCTGGTTTCTTGGTTGGAATTGCCCTGACTCTGGCTTGCCCACTGGGGCCCTTGCTCTGCCCAATTCTGCCACGCCTCTCCAGTGCCCAGCTGACCCCTATCCATGGTGCTTGTGCAGGACAGGCTCAGGCTCCAGAACGAATGAGTCAGCAGTCCCTGACCAGGCAGAGATGGGAAATGTCCACCCTGGGAGGGACCTGCCTGGAGACCAGGGCTGGACTGGACTCCCACCCATCCCATCCATCTCTCTGGGTGTGGACGCCAGCACCTGCTGCTCTCAGGAGGAACCAACAGGGTCCTCAGCTCAGTCCACAGAAGGCGCAGCCTGGCCAGAGGGTGCTGGGGAGGTGCATGTGGGAGGGAGGCTTCCAGCTGCAACGGGAAATAAGCTCACGGAGGTGCAGAAAAGTCCAGACAGGGAGCCAGGCCTGTAAGATGGCACTTACAGCTGGTTGTGGAGATGACTGTGTGGAGTGAGAGGGATGCTCAGAAACCCTCAGGCCTGTCTTGCAGTATCCCTCTCTGTAGAGTAGCTTTTTGCTGTTGCAGTGGCCTCATGGACTTTGGCCCAAACACAGCTGCACCACTATTTCCAGGGACAAGTGTCTGGGCTCTCCGTGGGGAGCTGCCCAGGAGCTGCTAGGCAGGTGAGGAAATCTTTGTGCAGAGCCATTGCCGACCCTCACTGACCACAGAATGCCTTGGGCTCTCTGGAAGTATGGGGAGACAGCTCCTGGGGGCTTGGCTTGGGCTCCCCTACCTCAACACCTTCTCTATAAACCACCATCTGCTACTCCGAAGGTGACCTGGAACCCCACCCACCCCAAGAAGATTCTGGGGTGATGGGCAGCAAAGGAGCCTGGGCAGCTCCCCAAGTGTCCTCCCCACCCCAACCCGCCCATCTCTCTGACAGTGACCAGTGAGGGGAGAAGTGAGGCTCCTTCCTAGGAGTAGAAAACAGCACCACAGTGAGGATGATTCATAAATGCATTCCCGGTCCATGCTGATGTGTAAATGAGAGCGGGCTCGACCCTGTGAGGAGGAGTCAGGGTGCCAGACATGAGTGGGAAGAGCCTGGTGAGCGTCAGAGACGGAGTGGGGGCTGCCAGCCCCAGGGCCAATCATCCCTGGCTGCTCAGGGCGCCCTGAGGATCCAGCTCCCGCTGTGTGGCACCAAGGGCAGCGACCCCAGGCTTCCCGGGTCCCTCCTGCGCCACGTGTGCCCAGAGTTCAGCGCTGGGTTCGGCAGCTCCGAACGGGGGAGACCTCCCGGCTGTGGGAGGTGCCCGGCGGGAGGGGTGAGGACTCGGGGAGACGGGAAACTGAGGAGGACCCCGCCTCTGGACTTTTCCTGAACCCTTTTCCCTTCGCAGCTGTGAAGCCGGGAAGGGGAAGAGTGGCTCCCAGTCTCCAGCCCGCAGCCGACCCCAGATAGAGGAGACTGGGTAGGGGGCAGGTCCCCGCTGCGTGGACCCAGCCCTCACAGCCAAGCAAGGCACGACCTCACGCTCCCGCAGAGCAAGTTGGCCAGCGGCTCGAGGCGCCCTCCCCGTGCCAGCCCAGTGTGGTGTGAGAATGAGGACGGAACCGGGACAGGGCTGCACTCCCAGCCTCAGGGCCCCATGTGCTGTTTTGTACACTAAGGTTGAGGTCTCCGAAGCCACACCAGGAGCATATAATGCCCCTATAGGCTGTGACCAAAGCAGGGTATACAGGTCCCTAACGGCTAGGAACACAACCTTAAGAACCAAATGCAGCCCCACAGCGCACACTGCGACCACGTGCTGTGGGGCCGGGATGAGGTCCTGGGGTCTGGCAGGGACGAGCCTGGGGACGCTTCTGAGCCTTACACCGAGCGGCTTCGGGACAGGCCTCTATCCACCTGCATCATTCAAGGATTGACGGATGGAGCCCAGGAGGATCCCACAGCCCGTCCCCGCCCCTCCCTCTTCCCGCTCATCCGCTGGTGGGGTGGCCACTCTTCCCCTTCCCGGCTTCACAGCTGCGAAGGGAAAAGGGTTCAGGGAAAGTCCAGAGGCGGGGTGCCCCTCAGTTTCCCTTCTCCCCGAGTCCTCGCCCCTCCCGCCGGGCACCTCCCACAGCCCGGAGGTCTCCCCCGGTGGAGCGGCCGAACCCAGCGCGGAACTCTGGGCACACGTGGCGCAGGAGGGACCCGGGAAGCCTGGGGTCGGCTGCGGGCTGGAGTCAATCCTAGCTGCTGAGAGCCGCCAGGCCGTCCGTCCCCGCCCCGCGCGGCTCCCAGACCCTCGAGTTGGTATCGCAGGGCCCCGGCGGCGCCGTCCGGACTCAAAAGCGCCTCTGCCTGGCAGGACTGGGGCAGGCGCAGCCACTACTCGAGGGGACGCACGCGGAGTCCACCCTCACTCGCGCACTCGAGCTGAAAAACGCCGCCGGCGCCCGGGAGCTGGGGCAGGGGCCCCGGACGGCTTGAGCAGGAGCCAGGTTAGGCGGACGCGGGCTCAGGATCCCGGGGGCTGGGGTTGGGGACAGACCCGTGAGACCCCACCCGCCGCGCGCCAGCCAGTGTTGCCAGGGGCGACCGCGCGCGCGTGGCGCATGCGTGGCTCGCCCGCCCGCCGCCGCGCCTTCCCCTTTAAGCGCCCGCCGGCCGCGTCGCCGCTTCATGAATGGAGCCCACGTGACCAAACATCATGTGACGTCTGTAGAGCGGCGGCGGCGGCGGCGGCGGATCCCCAGCCTGGTCCGGCCCGGCCTTCCTAGCGCGCTCGGCCCGGCCCGCGCAGGCGGAGAGTTCCCCGAGCCCCGGGACCGGACCCCTCTCGCCGGTCCCAGCCCCGCGCGGCCTCGGAGCGCGCGCGGCCCCGCCCCGCCCCGGCCTCGGCCCGCCGGCCCGCAGTGTGGTGAGTGCGGCGGCGGCGGCGGGCCCGGGCGGCGGGGGCGGCGCGGCGGGGGCCGAGGGGGCGCGCGGGTCGGGCTCCTCCCGCGGCTCGGCTGGCGGCTGGGGGCCTGGAGGCGGGGGCCGCTGGTTTCGGGGCTGCCGCGCACCCTGCTGGCGGCCCGTGCCTCGATTTCCCCGGCGGTCAGGAGCCAGCTCCTGCCCTTGCCGCCCGGGTGCTGGGGGTGGACCGCGGGCGGCGGCGGACCCGCAGAGCCGGGCGAGTGCAGGGCGGACTTGGAGACCCGAGCTTCCTGGAGGGAGGGGCGCCAGGCGCTGGGAGGAAAGGGTGGGGTCGAGCGAGGCGCCCGGGGGTCCGCGTCAGGGCCCGGCGGCCGGTCTGTAGCTGCTGATTCATCAGGTGGCCGCGTCTGCGCTCCCCGGGCGTGGGGGTCCGCGGCGGGCCCGGGAGGGGATCGACTGTGGTGGGGGACGGCCGGGAAGACCCTGCCGGCGCCGGCGCGGGCTCGGGTTCGGGCTCCGTCACTCGCGTGCCAAAGCCCAGAGGGAGACTTGCTGAGTCATCAGCATGAGGTCACTCGGTGCTCAAGCTGATACCAGCGGGGATTGGAGAGAGGGGCCTCGGGGACTAAAAGGCCGCCAGCCGGAGGTGGGAGGGAGTGGTGGAGATGTGGGAGGGGGCCGGGCCCGGCGCCTTGGGGTGCCTGTTTAAGTGAGGGCTGAGCGATCCTTTTGAAGGCAGGAGTGCTTGAAGAGGAAGTAGGGGTGGCTTGTTGCAGGTGTTCTACCGGGATCAAAGGTGAAGCCCCGGGCCGTCCACCCGTTCCCAGGCAGCTCTTCTTGGGCAGCTGGTCCTAGTCCCACGTCTGGGGCAGTTTCCCAAACTGGGAAATAGTTCCCTGAATGAGGGAGGGGAGGAGCTTCGGTGGGCTGTGCTAGCCAAAGGGGAAGTCGGCTTTCCCTGGGACTGGCCTGTCTGGACAGCCCCTGGCCAGGGATCCAGGCCCTGGGAGAAAGAGCGGTGTGCGTACCAAGCCCTGGGTGACAGTGGGCAGGGCAGGGCAAGGAGGAAGCAGGGCAGGTCTACTAGGAAATTACAAGGGAGAGGAAGCAGCCCTGCCTCTCTCCCCAGTTGGCTTCGGAGTCTGGGTTGAGATCGTGGGTGGTGGGAGCTTAGGGGTGCCGAGCCTTGGGCTGGTGTGGAAGGCATAGGGTGGCAGAACGCAGCATTCAGTCACACCAGAGTTGTTCGTACCTGAAGCCAGGTCTTAGTGTTGTGTGAAGTTAGCAAAGAGAATGGCCCTGCTGGGTGTCCGTCCTGGTGGCCCAGAGGACGTGTGCCAGGATGTTTGGAAAGTGGCAGCCTGGCTGGGCGCGGTGGCTCACTCCTGTAATCCCAGCACTTTGGGAGGCCGAGGCGGGTGGATCACGAGGTCAAGAGATCGAGACCATCCTGATCAACATGGTGAAACCCCGTCTCTACTAAAAATACAAAAAATTAACTGGGCATGGTGGCGCGTGCCTGTAATCCCAGCTACTCAGGAGGCTGAGGCAGGAGAATTGCTTGAACCCAGGAGGCGGAGGTTGCGGTGAGCTGAGATCCAGCCATTGCACTCCAGCCTGGGTAACAAGAGCGAAACTCCGTCTCAAAAAAAAAAAAAAAAAAGAAAAAGAAAGTGGCAGCCTGGGAGTGATGTGGCTTGAGCCACCTTTCCTTGGGTATGTGGAGATTCGTGAAGGTAGCCTTCCTTTGCCCAGGGGTCCATGACTGGGTTAGTCCACTTAGTGGTTTTTCCTCAGGGATGCCCACACAGAGTACATGTTCACTCTCATTGAGCCCTGGGGCTTATAGATTCCAGATGTTTCAATACTTCAGCTGATCTTTGGTCTGGAGTTTTACGCCCTGGGAAAATGCAGGGCCCTGGAGGGGCATTTATGATATTCTCAGTCACTTATGCATCAGTGGAAACTAAGTTTTAGGTTCTGTTCAAAGAGTGACTTTCAGGAGCTGAGCACTTCTGCAGCAGGTGGGTCTAAGGGTGGGATGACAGCAGAGGCCACAACTTCCGGGGAGTTTTGGCCACTGGGCTTTGCAGCCTAGTGGGGCTGTCTTTGTTCAGTCACAGGTGTTTCCACTTAGCCAAAGGGAGATGGAGCTCTCAAACCTCCTTCCCTTTCCTGGCTCTCAGTGTGAAATGGGTGGCCCAGGTACCGTGGCGGGTTGGGGAGCCGTGACCGCCTGTGCCTCCTGAATGAGGTGGGCTCAGCCTTTGAGGGAGCAGAGGATGCCTGATCAGCAGAGGATGTTTGGCCAGCCTTCAGGGTGGAGGAGGGTTGGGTTGGGGCCAGCTTCTCCTGAGGCTGTCTCTGCTCCGCGTGTCCCCCACCTTGCCAGAGGCTAGGTCAGGAGCCTGGAAACACTGGCTGTGCTCAGGCCTGCCCCTCCCCCACCCAGGCACACCTTTGATTAGGAGGTGATTGGCTGCACTCGTGCTGAGTTCAGGCCTTCTGCAGAGGGCAAAATCTGTCGAGGAGGCAGTTTTCCATGTGATCTCTTCAGCAAGTCACCGCTGTCATTGTGCTTAGCAGCAGGGGTGGGAGAAGCTGGTGCCAGGGCAGTGCCTCTGCACCCTGACTTGCACTCAAGGCTGGGGGCCCCTGCTGTGCTCAGCTGAGGTCCTGTCTCCTGGGGCTGTGTGGTGCCGGTTGTGTAGGAAAGAGCTCCTGTGGGCCTTCTGACCTCCAGCGCAGGTCTTCCCCATCCTTTATCTGGAAGAATCCAGTGGCTGGAGCCTTGGGACCTTGCCTCTGAGATGGCTTGGCTGTGGAGAGACAGGGGTCTCTGACCTCACCTCCTGATCCAAGGCTGGATGAGGTGGGGTCTCCACCCTGGTGAGGATGTGTGCCTTCACCTGGCCACACTTCAGCAACTGGTGAGAGTAAGAAGTCCCCCAGCCCATAATTTCCTGAAGTGCTCCTGGCTCCTCTGGAGGAGACTCTCATCTGTCTGCATCAAACCTGGAAAGTGGGGGATAGAGCGTGGGGTCGGAGGGGTCCATGTCCAAGGGTCTGGTGGGAGCTGGGCTGAGCAAGGAATCCCAGATGGGTTTCTGGGATGAGGTGCACAGAAATGTCCTTGGCAAGAAAGTGAGCTTCGAGCTGGGAGGACCCCAGGTGGGTGTGTCGGTTCTTTAGTCTGACCTCCTCAGTCCTTTTGTTTTTGTTCCCTGGCTCTGTGGGCACTGACCCGGGGCAGGGGGCCAGAGAGCAGGCTGCCACTCTGAGGGACTGACTCCACCAGCCTCCATTTGGGCAGGCCCCAGGATGGCTTACTGTGGGAGAACTTGTGAAACACCCTGGATGGGGTGGGGCAGGGGCTGCTTCCTGCAACCCAAAGCCACAGGATGGTTACTCCATCAGTGGAGGAGGCAGTCTGGGAGGGCCAGAGGGGCCTCAGGCCAAGCTCCTCCCAGCTGATGGCCTGCCACCTGGAAGGTGGGGGAACTCCCTGGCCAGTCGGGCCAACAGACCAGAGCTAGCTGGACAGCTCACCCCCAGCTACTCAAAGTTAGGAGACTCTGGGAGAATCGGGGCTCCCTACAGCCTCCTCTCTGGCCCAGTCCCCAGTGGGGCCCCTGTGCACCCAGGGAGCAGGGGGCTTTGTCCCAGGCCGGCTCAGTGGAGGGAGGTGGCTGGAGGAGGTAGGATCCCGGAGGATTCATGCACAGGGTCCCTGGCAGGCCCTCACCTGCTATTGGCCGGGCTGGCCTTTCTGGCCCCCAGCAGCTCCGCTGCAGCTCTCCTGGGGCACTCTTGGCTGGCGGGCCCAGGGAGTGCGGGCGCCGCGGGGGAGCGGGAGGCAATGTGCTGAGTCAGCGTGACTCGCCAGGAACAGCCGTGCTCTGGGGCAGTGCTGGGGTTATTTTTAAAGCTCCCGGCTTCCTTCTAGGCCTGCCCCACCCGAGTCATATTCCTTCTAATCTCTCCCCTGCCCCTTGTCTTGCTTTTGCCTCTCTAACAGCCTTCAGTTCCCCTTCTCCCATTAGACCTTCCTGACTGCCCACCTGGTTCTCTAGGGGTAGGGTGAACAGGAAGCAGCTCAGCCAAGCCTGGGAGAGGCCAAGGGCTGCCTCCAATCAGGTAGTGGGCCTGGGCACCCGGGCAGAGACTGGGGCGGGCTGTGCGGCAGGGGCTCTGTGAACTGGGGTGGGGGTGAGGGTGGTCTCCAGGGTACTGACCTCTGCTCTGTGTCTTGCAGAAAGCGCCTGCTCACTGTGCCCCCGGGTTATGACGACCCCCAATAAAGGAAACAAGGCCTTGAAGGTGAGTGGAGAGGGACAGGGAGCCTTCAGGCTGGGGTGGTGCCGTGGGCATGCCTGCTCAACCTGTGACCCTGTGCGCTGTGCCCAGGTGAAGCGGGAGCCAGGTGAGAATGGCACCAGCCTGACCGATGAGGAGCTGGTGACCATGTCGGTGCGGGAGCTGAACCAGCACCTGCGGGGCCTGTCCAAGGAGGAGATCGTCCAGCTGAAGCAGCGCCGGCGCACACTCAAGAACCGCGGCTACGCTGCCAGCTGCCGTGTGAAGCGGGTGACGCAAAAGGAGGAGCTGGAGAAGCAAAAGGCAGAGCTGCAGCAGGAGGTGGAGAAGCTGGCCTCGGAGAACGCCAGCATGAAGCTGGAGCTCGACGCACTGCGCTCCAAGTATGAGGCACTGCAGACCTTCGCCCGGACGGTGGCTCGCAGCCCCGTGGCGCCGGCCCGGGGCCCCCTTGCCGCCGGCCTGGGGCCCCTTGTCCCAGGCAAGGTGGCCGCCACCAGTGTCATCACAATAGTAAAGTCCAAGACGGATGCCCGATCGTAGGGACGCGCATCTGCCCAGGCGGGTCTTTGCGGGGCCACTAGGCACATGGCGAATTCGGCTGCCCTGTCCCTCTGTTTCCTTCTCTTTCCTCCCTCTCTTCCCTGCCCTTCTCTCTTCCCTGCAAAGCACAACCTGTACCCCAGGGGCACCAGGCTGAGCCCCTTTGATCTCGTCATTGTCGTCGTGTGTTTTGTATGTTGGGATTGGTCAGTTCGGTGGTGATGTGGGGTCGCCCCAACCCCTTTTGTACCAAGGCCATGCAGGCTTGGAGCCCAGAGTTGGTGCTGTGGGAATGGACTTGAGAGAAGTGCAGGGAGAGAGAAGGAGCAGGCACGCTGGGCCTCGCGTGTCCCTGAGCAGTGAGGGTTCCCATGTGTTCTCCCGGGCTAGGAAGGATTCACTCTCTTTAGCCCCAGGAGGGCAACTCAGCTCAGCCCAGCATGAAGAGACGGGCTGTGCTCTGAGAGCCGGCATGGCCTTGAGGGCCCTGATGAGTAGACCGCTGGCCTGGGCGCAGTGGTGCTGGGGCCTGCAGCTGGGGCCAGGGACTGCGCGCTCAAGCCTGACCCGTTGCACTGAACAAGACCAAATCGCTGGTTGTGCGCTTACGTGAGGGTGAGTCCAGTGTGCCCTGCGATGGGTCCCGTGTCACTGTTTACATGACCTATTTGTGTGGTTATATAGCCCTTTATTTAAAAGAGAGAAGTTCCTTTTACAAAGTTATTAATTATATGTTTAAAAGTTAAAGAAAAAAGCTGCAGAGTATTTATAAAACTGTCTTTTAGAAAAAAAAAAAAAAAGCAAGAAGACCATTTGACCATATCAATGGAAAAGGGAAGAAAGTATAATAGAAACTTTGCTAGTTAAAAAAGAAAAAAAAAAATCCCTTTCTTGTAAACTTATGGACAACTCTTTGTGGCTGTTGGAATTTAGTTTTTATATACACAGAGTTATCGGACATTATTTATAAAACTTAGTTTAAAAAAAAGACAAAAAAAAAAAAAGCCAAGCCGTGAACCGACCAGAAGGCCGTCCTCTTTGATATCTTTTGCAATTGTACCGAAAGTGACTTACTCCTCTGCCCTTCCTGCTTCCGTCTCTTGCCGGTGCCGTGGTGTTGTCCGTGCCTGGTGAGGTTTTGTGCAGCGGTAAAGTGCTGGTGCTTCTGGTGACCTTTGACCTGTGGGTGTCACTTCTTGTGTCTGTTTTTCCGTGTTCGTTTTTTGGGTTTCATTGTGCTTTTGCTTCTGCTGGCTTGCTGGACCTGGGCTGGGGTGCCAGGGGGTACCTGCTTCGTCAGAGCTCAAGGAGTCTGTGCCCACCAGCAGTCCCTGATCCCTAGGAGGTGAGACGTGGGGCTCTGTCACGCTCACCCCATTGAACCTTGGCTACATCTATGTCTAGGGCTGGGGCTGATCCTGTGGCGGGGTAGGTGACATTGGGGGTCCCTTGGGGCCCCCCCACGCTGCTTCCACAGCCACCACCTCTGGCCTTGGGTGGTGGTGTTGCAGGGACCAAGGAGTCACTGTGGGTGGCCACAGGAGTTCCCTGGCTGTCTTCCTCTGGCCTCTTCACGTGGGGCCTCAGCTGGGAGCCCCAGGGGCACGCACCGTGGGCTGCAGGTTCCACCGCCCACTTGATCCCTGAACTGTTTCCATGCTGCAGGGTGCTTCCAGGCAGAGTGGTGGGTGGCTCCACCAGTGCAGACAAGGGCTACGATCTCCAGGGCTGGGTCTTATCCCTCTTCTCTGCTGGTCCATCCTGGCAGCACTTGGCTTCAGGCCTTCCTTCTGCCTCCCTTTGGGATCTGTCTTCCAGGGATCAGCTGCTTGGCTTCACTGGGGGTGCCTCCCTCTGGGGGCCCAGCCTGCCTCTTGCTCCCAGTTCCTCGACAGAGGCTGCTGCCCTTCCCGGCTAGGCTCAGGAGGCTCCTGGTAGGCATATGATGGGGAGAGGTGTCCCCACCCCAAGAGAGTACAGCCCTGTGTCTGGCCATGTAAACTTTGACCTTTCACCAGGGTTGCTGGTTTCTTCTCTATGGGGCCCAGTCCCCTGTAAAGCACAGAAATGTGGGCTGGTGAGATGAAAAACTGTGGCCGACAGGGCTTAACCCTGTGGGTGGTGGGATTTTCATCCAAGAGTTTGGCCTGGTGTGCCTGTGAGATGTGAACAGGGATGTACCATCAACATTTGTCTTAATGAGCTTCTCTTTGCTGTAGGTGTTCAGAGACAACTCTTGTTTCTACCTAGGCCAGCCTGAAAATCGAAATCTTGACTCTAGTCATTTAGTGACTTCATCCCCCTCTCCTCAGTCTAGTTTTGTCTAACTAGAATCCAGGCATTAGTTGGAATCATATCAAAAGTATCTATGAAGAAAATGTCATGATCTGCCTTGGAGCAGGAAGGAACAGGCCCTCCTTGTCCCTGTGTGGCCCCCACTTTTGTCCTGGCTGGGGGTGGCCATTCATTTTGAGCACCTCTGCCAGGCTGCAGACCTGGAGGCAAAGGGAGTGCAGAAGAGGAGGGTGTGAGGGTGGGCGCAGGCTGAATGGAAGGGGTAGTCCTTGACGTGTTGGCAGAAGAGGCCTCTGGAGTGTTGAGGCCATACCTCCTTTCAAGAGCTTTGAATTTGGAGCGACTTCCCTAGGTCTAGGGGAGTGTTCCTGTCTCCTGTCAGGCCAGCCTTGTGGAGCCACTCCATCCCTCTTCCCCTTCCTTGGGATTTCCTGACATAGATGCTGTGTTCATGTGCACATGTGAGTGTGCTGTCCTTCTGATAGCTTCATCCCGCTTTCCTACTGAGAAAAGGGTGGTGGCCTCTTCTCACCTCAGCTTTTCTGACACAGCCAATTGAGGGCTATGGCCAAGGCCAGGTCTCTCAAACTTGTCCGCCAAGTAAACCGTGATGTATGTCTTCCCTTCCACCTTGACTTTGCCCCAACTCCTCCCTTACCCTAACATGGATACTCAGATTTCAGAGAAATGCCTGGTGGGGACAGGTCAGCTCTCACCCAGAGAGTGAGGCCCTGGCTGCTGCTCCGGGTGGTGCTGGTGTTGCTGGGGCTTCAGCTCTTGGTGCATGTTTCAGATATGTGTGCATACTTCTGACCAGCAGCAGCAGCAGCAGCCTCAATAGTCAGTGCCCAGCCCACAGCCCTGAGGAGCTGCAGCCTGCTTTGGTACTATGGTAAGGTTCCATGTTGTCCTTGCTGCCTCCCGCTCTGGAGTGGCCACTTGACCAAAGCTTCCATCCACATCTGGAAAGTCTGAGCCTCGGCCTGCTACACCTTTTCCGCTCTGGGATCTTGTGTTACTTTTTTAGGCTGTGGTTTGGTGAAAGGAACCAACACATTAACGATTTTTCCCCCCAGAAGCCACTGAATAATTCTTTTGGCATAATTTTGCCTTCCTGTTGGCTGTCTGGCCTTGGAGCAGGTGGGGAGAGTGGAGTGCATAATCAGTGCCACACAGAGGCAGGGTGTGTCTGAGAGACCGATGCCTGGCCTGTCTCTGGCCTGTGTCCTGGGCGGGTGCTACACCTGCCAGACCAGTCCCCCACACATTTCCACCCTGCCCCTGGAGCAGCAGCTTTGATACCATGGGTGTCCCTTGAGTTTGAGATACAGTGTGAGAGTGTGTCCCCTATAAACTGTGAGACCTCCCTGTTCTTGGTGACCCCAGTTGGGCTTAGGCCCCTCCAGCAACCTGTGTCCCAGCCCTGCCCTTTTTCCCATCCCTCAATCTGCTAGTCCCTGAAGCCTTTAACCAAACGGGAGTGGGTTCAGAAAGCCTTCTCCTGGCAACTTAGGGCAGCAGGACAAGGGCTACCCGCATGTCCAGCCCTGTTGCTCTCCTGGCGCTGAGAGGTGGGTCCAAGCAGAGTTGATCAGTCCCTGCCTGCCCTGTCTAGGTCTAGCCAGGGTAGGCTGTGTGTGGGAGAGGACCTCGGGATCTGCTGGGGTGGGATAAAGGTTATTAAAGATCTAAGTGAGGAGGGGCTGGGGTTTGGATGCGGGCTGAGGCCCGAGAGCTCACACTTCGTGTAGGGCGGGCAGGGGCCTGACCTGCAGGGCAGTGGCCTTAGTGCCCCACCCCTGCCCTGCGCAGTATTTATTGCTAAATTATTGTCCAGGAGGGGCAGCACTGGGCCTGCCCCCCCCGGGTATTTATTGCTGTATATAGTGTATGTTTGTGATATATAAGGTTTTCTTTATTTTGTATATGATCAATAAACCTTTTAAAGAGACCGACAGGTGCTTCTTTGGAGTGACGCAATGGGCGGGGCCGGAAGGGGGGGGGGGCCTGGGGGCCCGGCTCACGCATGCGCCTTGGGAGCGGCCTGCCTTGTGAAGCGGAAGCGGAAGCGCGGGTCTCCAGGGGAGCCATGGCAGCTGGGGGTCTGAGCCGCTCGGAGCGCAAAGCGGCGGAGCGGGTGCGGAGGCTGCGGGAGGAGCAGCAGCGGGATCGCCTCCGCCAGGTACGCATCCGCCGCTCCCCGGCCCACCATGCCCGGCCGCCGCTGCCGCTCACCGCCCGCCTGCCCGCAGGTGTCACTCATCCTGAGGAAGGCGGCGGTGGAGCGCAGCGCGGAGGAGGTCCGGCTGCTGGCCGAGAGCGGGGACCTGGTGACGGAGTTGCAGGGCCGGAGCCGGCGGCGTGAGGGCCTAAAGCGGCGGCAGGAAGAGGTGAGTGCAGCGCGCGGAGGCCGCGGGCGCCTCGGGTTTCGGGAGCAGCTGGGGCGACGGACGGCCCAGGGTGGAGCGACCCGGGGCGGTGACCACCTTGGCGTCTCGACAGGTGTGCGACGACCCGGAGGAGCTGCGGGGGAAAGTCCGGGAGTTGGCCAGCGCCATCCGGAACGCCAAATACTTGGTCGTTTACACAGGCGCGGGAATCAGCACGGTAGGGAGGAAGGCAGGGATTGGTGGGGGGTGCCCCTTCTGGGAGGTGGACCCCAGGACGGTGTATGCGCTCCAGTTGGTTAACTCCCCAATCGTGAAAAACTCATCTTTAAAGCAGCTCTAAGGTTTTTTCCTTTTTTAGAAAAACACGAAACGACCAAAACTTACCTAAGGTAAAGACTTCTTAAATGCTTGGCCTCTATTACAGCCAGTTAAAAACAAAAAAGCAGATATGAATGGGATGTAGTAGCCAACTGCTCTCAGGCACCCCCAGGTTATGTGGACAGAGCTAAGCCCAAAATTGTCTTGTGATTCTCCACTCTGTTCTCTGCATGTTGAGGGAAGATAAAAAGAAAGTGACACAGTAAGAGTCGGACTATACCAGGTAAAGGAGAGAATTGCAATGCGTTTTGAGAAGTTTCACTGACAAGCTCTCCTGGGCTGTGAGACATCACTAGCTTCGAAAATGTAGCTGGCACCTTGTCCATCGAGTCTAATGGGTGAGCATGGAGTGCTAGGCACGCCTGGGTATAGCAGATCTGAACGCCAGGTGATTTCTGTTCTCAGGAAGCCTTTAGATGACAAGAATCAGGCATGTGAACAAACAACTGTAAGGTAAAGCTGGCTGTGCTAGATCACTAGAACAAACCCAGACAAACACACTGTCCTCATGGAGTTGAGAAACCCATCTGTGTTGGCTTTTTGTGGGAGGTGGCCATGAGTTGGGCCTTGAAGAAAAGAAGGTGGGAATGAGGCACTACAAGCAAATAATAATAGAAGCTCAGCAGCAAGAATGCAGAAAAGGAGTTCATTGCTAACTTAGATACCTGGAGCCCTTGGGGTTTGGGTCTCCTACCGCCACAGTCATGTGTGAAAGTCCAGTCATGCTGGGCGCGCTGGCTTACGCCTGTGATCCCAGCACTTTGGGAGGCTGAGGCGGACAGATCACGAGGTCAGTAGTTCAAGACCAGCCTGGCCAACATGGTGAAACCCTGTCTCTACTAAAAATACAAAAATTAGCCAGGCGTGGTGGCGGGTGCTTGTAATACCAGTTACTTGGGAGGCTGAGGCAGAAGAACCACTTGAAACCGGAAAGTGGAGGTTACAGTGAACCGACATCTTGCCACTGCATTCCAGCCTGGGTGAAAGAGCAAAATTCCATCTTGAAAAAAAAGTCCAGTAATATAATTATATAGCAATCATGTGACCTCTTACAGAGAACTTCCAGTGGCAACTGAGAGCACATGCAGCTCGTGGATTTCATGTTACTGTTTGAGGTTCCCCTCTTGAATGTGACTGTCTGAATACTGCTGTCCAGGGCGGGTGTGTGTTTCTGAGTTTAAGCAGGAGTTGGGAGATGACTTCCCCAGTAGGAAACACAAGACACCTTTATCCTGGCATGTCTTCTCAGTCCTTCTCTGGGCCTCAGTTTGTTTCACAGGATTGGAAACCTGGGAAGTTAGATGCTTATCTCATCTGGAGAGGTGGTTCTGCTTTTGTTAAGGTGGAGCAGGAACCCTTAGCATCTGGATATGAGAATGGACATTTGCCTGCCCCCACCTAGGGATTCACCATTTGCTAAATGTGTGAGCTGTGGGCTCGGCCCTGGGGATGCTTAGGAACATGACTTGTCTTCCCCTGCCATGTGAAGGACACATGTGCCACAGAGCCCAGCTTTGTGCTTGGTGCCAGAAAGGCTCCCAGAGACAGGCAGGGCTGTGTTTAACCTGGAAGGATAAGCTGGGCCAGGCAGGAAATGGAAGTCCAGGTAGAAGGGAGGGGCCAAATTGCGGTACACACCATATGGGCTCAGGTTGGTCAGCCTGTGGAATGCATAGAGGCCAACGTGCAGGCCAGCCCGGATGCAGCAGGAGGGACAGTGGCTCCCTGTTTCTGGGAATTCTGCCAGTACCTACAGTGGTGCCTTTACTTGGCTTGCCTTTTTTCTTGACATGCAGGCAGCCTCTATCCCAGACTACAGGGGCCCTAATGGAGTGTGGACGCTGCTTCAAAAAGGGAGAAGTATTAGGTAAGTGGGCCAAGCGTGGCCTCCCACATGGGCTGAGCAAGGGCAGTGTGGGCCTGAGCTCCAGCTCCCTTCACCTTGCCTTCCCTCCGCCTGGTAGTGCTGCTGACCTGAGCGAGGCTGAGCCAACCCTCACCCACATGAGCATCACCCGTTTGCATGAACAGAAGCTGGTAAGAGCCCAAGGCGGCTGGTACACTTGGCAGAGCATCTTGGTGCTCAGTGGACAACTGCATCCTGCCTCTGTCTACCGCTTGACTCCCATGATGAGCACCCACCAAGTGGGTTAGACCCCGGGTTGGATCCTCCCCCTGCTTCCTCTCCAAGACAGAAGGGCAGCGCCCCCTCTGAACCATCTCATCCACAGCCAGCCTCAGACCCAGAGGTGCCAGTGGCCTTTCCCCTTTGTGATTCCTTTGCATTTTTCTGTGGATCTCAGAAGCCATCCTGGTCACAGGGGAGGCTTGTAGGAATTCTCTGGGGACCTTCTGCTGAACACCCTCAACCAAGGCACCGGTAGGGGTTGATCTGCTTGGGTCCGAAGGGACCTGAAACATCATGACCCACAAGAGCATGGATCCAGAGCAAAGTGACCCTTGCCAAAGCCCCAAGCCACTTCCCAACCTTGCTGGGACGGTACAGCCTCTTGCCCTCCCAGCCAATCTGGGTGCATCAGGGCTGGAGGGAAGGGCACAGCGCCACCCACCATAGGCCCTCTTGAGTCTTGGTGGTTGGTCCTATTGTGTGTTGTACTTTCAAAGGCTCTCTGTGGGGTTGGAGTTGTTCCTGGTCTTGGGAGCCATCAGCTGGGTTCAGAACAGCCTCTCTGTGGCCTTGTTTTGATATCCCCACCCTCTGACAGCCCTTCCCATTCCACCTTCCAGGTGCAGCATGTGGTGTCTCAGAACTGTGACGGGCTCCACCTGAGGAGCGGGCTGCCACGAACGGCCATCTCAGAGCTCCACGGGAACATGTACATTGAAGTGAGCAGTCCTAAGGGGACCCGGGAACTCCACGGGCAGGCGGGTCCCACTCACTGTGCCCTCTCCTCTTCAGGTCTGCACTTCCTGCGTTCCCAACAGGGAGTACATTCGGGTATTCGATGTGACGGAGCGCACCGCTCTCCACAGACACCAGACAGGCCGGACCTGCCACAAGTGTGGGGCCCAGCTCCGGGACACAATTGTGCACTTTGGGGAGAGGGGGACGTTGGGGCAGCCTCTGAACTGGGAGGCGGCAACTGAGGCTGCCAGCAGAGCAGACACCATCCTGTGTCTGGGGTCCAGCCTGAAGGTGCGTGCCAACGACACCATGAATGAGCTGAGCCCCCACCTGCCCAAGGGTGTCCAGCTCTGCAGCCCAGCACTCTACAGCCTTGTCCCTTGTGTGTGTGCTGTGTCTGTCCGTCTGTTCCCACAGGTTCTAAAGAAGTACCCCCGCCTCTGGTGCATGACCAAGCCTCCTAGCCGGCGGCCCAAGCTCTACATTGTGAACTTGCAGGTATCTCGGGTGCTGAGAGCCACATGCTCGGACCTGGGCCTTAGAATGCAGAGCCAGAGACACCCATGCACCAGGGCAGTCTGATAGGGTCCCCCGTGGGTGTTCAGGGAGCAACGACCGAGGCCACCTGGGCCGAGGCTGACAAGCCACTAGGAAGGATTGGGCTGCTTTTACCCTCATTTGGCTTTCCCTGTCCTCAGTGGACCCCAAAGGATGACTGGGCCGCCCTGAAGCTACATGGGAAGTGTGATGACGTTATGCGGCTCCTCATGGCCGAGCTGGGCTTGGAGATCCCTGCCTATAGCAGGTGAGTGGGCCTCCGCAGCAGCCCGTTTACCCGCACCTCATGTGCTGGGCCTTGTCTGTCTTCTTTCATGAGCTGAGCGTGGAGGAGGCTCTGAGGTGTTCGCAGCGATGTCTGAGGCGTGACTGAGGCGTGGTGGTCTCCAGAGGGCCTGACCTTGGTGTTTGGCCGAGACTATGCATGGGCCACTCGTGCGCCAGCTGATGGTGCACAGAATCCCTAAGGGGAGAGGGATTCTGCCCGCATGCTGCTGCTCCAGGCCTCCCCATGGAGCTCTCTGAGATGCCTGGTGGGAAATGTCTCGAGGGGACGTGCACTCAGCAGTCTGGTCAGACAGAATCTGTGCTTGGTTTTGGGAGTTGGCGTATTTTGGGAAAGCTTAAACTTGTGCTTTAATACAGAATTTGTGCTAATTTAGACTTGGTGTATGTATTGAGTAAAAAGTTTACACTCTCTTTCTCTGTGAATTTTCAGGGTCTTATAGGGGAAATCAATAACTTCTTTTAATCAAAGGGTTCAAGAATTAAGGATCCCTTCGCCTTCTGGGCCTGGCACTTCTTGTATGTTATGTGTGTGGTGTTCTGTGATGTGGGCTATCGTGTACTGTATTTTTTTTTTTTTTTACATTAACTTAGCTCATTTTCCTTATCAGTGCTTATCTGTATCTTAAGTTATGATCTGTGGTTCTACATCTCAGTAAGACACATGGTTTCTTCACGGTGTCGTCTGTAGGCCACGCCTCCCTAGTCAGCTGGGAAAGGGGAGAGGGTCTGGTCCACCTGCCCCTGGCCTTACAAGTCAAAGGTGGGGCCCAGAGTTGCTAGTGACTCATCCCTGGAGACGGAGGCAGCCCTGGGGCCACTGCTGCCCCGCCCTGTGTGTGCACGCTGCTCAGTGGTGGATGAGGACACGGAGTTCTGAGGAGACCAAGCTAGCTAATGTGGGCACTGACCTTTAGTGACACCTGAGAGGTGACCTCTCCCACATCCGTTCTGCAGCTTGGTAACAAGCTGCCACCAACTGGAGCCCAGCCGCGGTTGACACGGGAGGGAAGGGGATGGGAAGGCAGGGACCGCAGACAGCTTTCCCGAGCTGGGGAGGGTGTGACTTCGAGAGGCTCCCAGGCCTGCCTGATGCAGCTTTCCCTTTTTGGCAGGTGGCAGGATCCCATTTTCTCACTGGCGACTCCCCTGCGTGCTGATGAAGAAGGTAGCCACAGTCGGAAGTCGCTGTGCAGAAGCAGAGAGGAGGCCCCACCTGGAGACCGGGGTGTACCACTTAGCTCAGCCCCCATTCTAGGGGGCTGGTTTGGCAGAGGCTGCACAAAACGCACAAAAAGGAAGAAAGTGACGTAACCTGGTGCTCAATGAAGAACAGCTGGCACTTTGCAAATGGCCAGTGTCACGGTGAAGGCTGGGTTGTCCCACAGGTCTAATGAGAACTTTGGGGATGACGTTTTCACCATGACATCTTTAGCCATTTGTCCTTGCAGAAGCCCCTTGCACTGCTGCGGTTGTCTCCTGATACAGCTTGGCCATCCTCTATGTCAAGAGGTGGCAGCCGCCCCTTTCTGTGAGAACGGAACTCGGGTTATTTCAGCTCTGGCCCGCAGAGGAAGCGCCCAGCTGCCTTCCCTCATTCACCAGGCCAGTCTCAGGGCCTCACCCCATTTCTACTACTAATGAAAAAGTGTGAACTTTATAAAACCCTCTTTCTGTACTGAATGTGCGGTGGAGGGATGGCTCCGAGCCTCGGCTCTATGCAGACCTTTTTATTCCTATTAAATATTTCTCTGCACTGGCCTCCAGTGTCCGCGAGTGGTTGTCGCGGGCTCCCCAGGCGCAGGTCCACTGCCTGGCAATGTGGTCCTGGCTTAAAAACTCCACAATGATGAATATTATTATGCCAAAAAATAACAAGGAAAAAAAAAACCCTGCTTGGGACAGCGCCCCGTGGGGGTTCATGGAGGCGGCGGCGGCGGCGGGACCCCCCGCGCTCCGCACTGCCAGGCCCGCCCTTTGCCAGGAGTAGGCGGTGCGGAGAGGCCAGGTGTGGGCAGGGGGCGGGGCTCTGGCCGTGCGTGTGGGGGGGCGGGACCGTCGGGGTCTCACGCTATTGGCCGTGCGCGGAGGTGCGGTGGGGCGCAGCCTTCGAGGGCGGGGCACGGTCCGAAGTGCCCGTCGCGGGTCCGGGACGGCGGAGGCGGGACTCGGGTCGGCGGCTCACACCATTGGCTGTAAGGAGCGGGTGAGGCCCGCGTGACGGCGGTTGCGCATGCGCCAGGCGGGCGGCGGCGCTCGGAGTCGCCGGGAGCTGCCAGGCTGGCTGCGCCGCCGCTGCGGAGCCATGATCCGGAATGGGCGCGGGGCTCCTGGCGGCGCAGAGCAGCTGGCCCCGGAGGGCAGACGCGCTGTGCGGGTGTGGTGCGACGGCTGGTGAGCACAGGGCCGGGGCGGGCTGTGGGGTCGCCGGGGCCGGCTTCTTTTCGGAGCGCTGAGCCGGCCGTTACACGGGGACCGGGCCCCCGTTCCAGGTAGCGTCCGCGTCCGGCGTGGGCCGGGGCTGCCAGGCTGCGAGGCGCGCCCGCCGGGAGGGTCGGGCTCCAGAGGCTTCGCGCCCTATCGTGGGCGCCCCCGTCTGTCCGTGGCGGAGGCCTCATCCGGTCGCGACGACCCATCCAGTGCAGCCACCGCGCTGAGATCTGGAGCGAAGGCCTCCCCGCTTCTCCGTGACCACCAGACACCAGCTTGCCCGGCTGCAGCCCAGGGTTCCCCTGGCCCTTGGGCGAGCGCCCCTGTAGCTGGACAGCAGGTGTGACCTGCCTGTTCGAGACCCGCAGTGTCTCAACTGCGGGAGGAGGACCTGGGTCCTCCTCCGCGGGTCTGGAATTCGATCGGCCTTCTCTTGCCAGACAGAGGGCATTGTTTTCAGAAAAGTTTGGGGTTGTCAACAAGTGAAAGGAAGATGACCTTTACTGATAATTTGCTGTCTCTGATCCTTTCACATGCCTAACGGACGGCACGTGAGTTGCCACGAAGGTTAGCCCTTCCTAGGAGAAAACGGGACCTTGTTCTCTTTGTCTGAGTCACCTCTTGGGAGAAGGAATGTGGCTTTGTGTCAGTGGACTTTGACCTTGCCCTGATCAGGCTCCAACCCCATGTGCTTGTAGGCTGCAGTGACTAGACCCAGTCCCATTCCAGGCTGTGCTCCACTGGCCCAGCCTCTGACGCCTCCTCCCCTCCAGCCTGTCCAGTGGGTACATGGGCCCACCAGACTTGACCTTGCATGTCTGCTGGGGATCCGTGCACTGTGGCAGGGGTGCTGGGTGCCCATGCTGGGAGGAAGCAGTGACACTCATGGAGCAGCTCTGTGTACTGTGTGGGGCTGCCAGGGTCACATCTCTCCCTGAAGAGGCAGGGACAGCTTCGTCCACTCTTGAGGGGATGGGCAGCTGCTGTAAGGAAGAGGCAAATAACCCAGGCCAGTGGGGCCCAGTTTGTGGCAGGGCTGTGTAGCCTTGGGCTTGAGAGTCAATGTGTTCCCAGACCCAGATTTGTGAATGAAAACTCTAGAACCAGGTGGCAAGGCAGTGGCTGCTCACACTGAGAGTGAAGTCTACTAAGCTTCAGAGACCACTGGGGTGGAGGAAACAGGATCTTCAGGGCCAGTGATTCCCAGGGCCACCTTCTGTGGTTGGGTTTGTTTTGGGGTGGCCCCAGGGACTCTTCACTTCTCTCAAGGCAGTCGAGGATCCAATCCCACGCCAAGAGTTAACACTGGCTTATTTTGAAGTGAGTGCCCAGGGCAGTTTATATTTGGTGAGGGGATAGGACAAGGACAGAGTGCTCAGAGGTGTGGGACACGGGGCCCTGCAGCTTTCAGTGGGTTCCGGTCTGTCCTACACCCACCAGTCCTCTGGACCCGGCCAGGCCTTGACATTCCTGCTGCTGCTACCCTTTCTAGATCTGGCACAGAGGTCACACCGTTAGGCCCAGAAGCCAGTGGGGTGGAGAACTGAGCACCTGTACCCCGAATCCCAGCCCCAGGGCTCCCAGCAGCAACTTCTCAGAGCACTTCCTAAGGTGTCCTCAGAGGAGCAAAGCTTTGCCCTGAAGCCATAGGGCTACCTGGTTCCCACCCTTGGCATGGGGACCAGCTGCTCTCTCTTTCTCCACAGCTATGACATGGTGCATTACGGCCACTCCAACCAGCTGCGCCAGGCACGGGCCATGGGTGACTACCTCATCGTGGGCGTGCACACTGATGGTATGCACAGGCAGCCTCGCCCACCCACTGCCCCACAGCCCTCCTGTGGGTTGCGCCTGTTGACTGAAAGCCTGCAAACCTGGGATTCCCTTGCCAGGACATAGCTGCAGGGGAGGGCACTGTAGGCTCACCCAGCCGGCCCCAGCTGAGGATGGCCTAATGCCTTTCCCATCTTGCACTTCCTGTCCCAGCTCAAGAGAAGGGGCATCTGCTCCTCACCACCGCCAGCATGGGTCCCAGCCCCTCAGGGGCTGAGCACCTGCTTGTTGGAAGGAATCCCTGCCTTTGCCTGAGACTCTCAAGGGGGAGAGAGCCACCCAGTTGATCAGCACTAGTGGGCTAAGGACTGGCAAGAGACGCAGCCTGCCCTCTGCCCTCATGTGTGGCTACAGCTGGGGGCTGAGAAGCGACCTCCTATCCAAGGGGCCAGGTGGGCTGGGGTCCCCAGTGTCCCCCTTGTTCTTTTCCTAGAGGAGATTGCCAAGCACAAGGGGCCCCCGGTGTTCACTCAGGAGGAGAGATACAAGATGGTGCAGGCCATCAAGTGGGTGGATGAGGTGGTGCCAGCGGCCCCCTACGTCACTACACTAGAGACTCTGGACAAATACAACTGTGACTTCTGTGTTCACGGCAGTGAGTGTTGGGGATGGGACCTGGAGTCCTGGGGATGTTAGGTGGCTCAGGATCAGATCTGCTGGTGGGACATCCAGGGACAGGGAGCCTCCATGCCCTTCGAGGATCTGAGACTACCTAGAAATGGGCACATGGACACTAGAGCAGGCCAGGGGCTTGGAGGGTCCTGGGCCCTGAAGGTCCTGATGGCTTTGGGTTAAGGATCCATGTCCTTGTGTGTTATTGCTTAGATGACATCACTCTGACTGTAGATGGCCGGGACACCTATGAGGAGGTAAAGCAGGCTGGGAGGTACAGGTGAGTCTCTACCTCGAGCCCAGCTGTCCAGGGAGCTGGGCACGGGGCTCCCTCCAGCTAATGCTTTGCTATTTCCTGGGAGCCCATAATGGAGCGTCTGAGTCCTGGGGACTTGAGGGAAGGGGGCAGCATTGTGGGGTGCACCTGGTGGCCCTCGCCATTTGGTGCTGCAGACTCATGGTCCCAAAGCTCCAAAGGCACAGCTTTGTGAGGTGATGGCTGTGGAGCTTGGGGGATGTGGCTGGCACTGCCGGGGAGCTGGCACTATATCTCAATTACCAAACGTTAGGGAGCACAAGGCCAATGGCTCCTGCATGGGATGCTGCAGCCAGGAATTCGCTTGGCCACAGATACTCACTGGGCAGGACATGGGCATGAGGGAGGCAGGAGCAGAGCCACCACCCCAGTGCCCGCCCTCTACCTACCATTGCATACCTGTGCCCCAGTGAGGGTCCTTTCCATGCTCCCATCCCTCCCTTCAGTCAGTAAAAGAATGGAGGCCTTCCTCACGTTCCCAGCCCAGGTTTTGTCGTGGCCTTGCACAGAGAGGGGATCCTCAGTCTTCGGGCAGCTGTAGGTTCTGCCACAGCGGGACCGCTAGTGTCCCCAGTAGTGGTAGCTGGAGGCAGAGCCTTGCAAGTGCCCCAGGAAGAGACCCCACTCCCTCTCTGTCCCCCAGAGAGTGCAAGCGTACACAGGGAGTGTCCACCACAGACCTTGTGGGCCGCATGCTGCTGGTGACTAAAGCCCACCACAGCAGCCAGGTGAGTAGGGGGCAGAATCCCCGAGGCCCCTGGGTCCAGGTCGCCATGGGAAAGGATGAGCATCTCCCTGCCCCCTCAGGGCCCTCCTGCCCACACTCCCCATCCCCGCCTGGTCCTGGGGTGGCCACGCGTGGAGGGCAGGCCCTTCAGCCCTGCTGTGCTCTTCTGTGCAGGAGATGTCCTCTGAGTACCGGGAATATGCAGACAGTTTTGGCAAGGTGAGTGTGGCCATGCAGGGGAGCTGAGCACACAGCTACAGAGGCTACCCTCAGCCGCCTGTCCCAGCCATCCCTTGGGGAAAGGCCAGCCCAGAGCCTCACCCTCCACCCTGCTGGCCAGCAGTGACCGCCAGGCTCAGCCGACTGATGGGTGCTGGGAGGGAGGGCAGTCAGGTGGTGGCACTGGCTGGCCAGTCACAGCAGCCACTGTTTGGAGGAGGAGCAAGAACTGCCCGTGGACAGGTGGCCTCTAACCAAGTGGCCGGGTCCTTTCTCCCTTTGTAGCCCCGTCACCCGATACCCGCCGGGGACATACTTTCCTCAGAAGGCTCCTCCCAGGTGACCAGAGGGTGGTCTCAGGGTGCCAGGTCCCTCCCAAGGGCTGTGTGCACTGGCCACCCGGTTCTGGGCCTCCTCCTGGCGGTCAGTGGCTGGGCTGAGGTGGTGTCAGCTGTGGTGCCTACTATGGCTGTGGGTGCGCCACAGTCCCACCTGCTACCTGGCCTGGCAGTGTGTCCCCTGCCCGAGGTGACTGCCTGGAAATGGGTTGCTGGCAGGCAACAGCTGAGGGTTTGGTGACCTGGCAAGGGCAGCACCTGGGAGGCCTCCCCTGCCAACCTGCTCCCTCTCTCGGCTTACAGTGCCCTGGGGGGCGGAACCCCTGGACTGGGGTATCCCAGTTTCTGCAGACATCCCAGAAGATCATCCAGTTTGCTTCTGGGAAAGAGCCCCAACCAGGGGAGACAGTCATCTATGTGGCTGGCGCTTTTGACCTGTTCCGTATCCTCTGGACCTCTACTGCTCCCTATGTGTGCCACGTGGGGTGGGACCCAGGGGCCTCACTTGACTCCTTGGAGCCCCCAGACTGGGCTGGGTTGCAGGGGAGCAGCTGTTGGAGGGAGGATGGCGGGAGGCCCCTGGGCACGAGCTGTCGGAGGGAGGATGGTGGGAGGCCCCTGGGCACCAGCTGTCAGGGAGTTGCCCCCTGCCATCCCCTTCCCAGCTACTTCTTAACCTGGGCACAGACATTGGGCATGTGGACTTCCTGGAGAAGGTACACAGGCTGGCAGAGAGGCCCTACATCATAGCTGGCTTGCACTTTGACCAGGTCACTGCCCAGTGCCCTCTTGCTCCCTGGGCCCCTGGGTAGCTGATAGGCCCTTAAGGGGGCCCTAAGAGTTGGGTGCAGATGGTCTCTGGGAGGAGGAGGTCTGAGGTGAAGTCAAAGGAGACCCTGGGGGGTGATCATGGGCTTCTGGGGTCCAGGTCTGTCCTGTCTGGGCATCCCCACAAGGGCGGGCATCCTCCTCGACCTCTTCCCACAAGGGACAGCAGGGAAGGGTCATACCCTGTCCACCTGAAGTCTCTGGGCTGAGCCAGCATCACTCTGGCCACAGGAGGTCAATCACTACAAGGGGAAGAACTACCCTATCATGAACCTGCATGAGCGGACCCTGAGTGTGCTGGCTTGCCGGGTGAGTGGGGGCCAGGAGCCAGCCCAGGAATGGGGGGACATCCCTACAACATCTCCCCACCAAGGGCTCCCTGAACCAGGGCAGGGCCACATCCAGCACTCCGAGTTCTGTGGCACCTGCCCATACCTGTTTGGTGAGGCAGGAGTTGGGGTGGCCAGATCTCCAGGTGCTGTTCCTTCTCGACTCACAGAGAAGCCCAAGGGGTCCCCAGCCAGCCCAGCCCATCCCTGCTACTCACTGGCAGCCCTGCCCCATGTCTGGACTGTCTCCCACCACCCGCTGGCCCTGGCTTAACAGTAGCAGAGACCAAGCAAACCTTTCTGCCCACTGTCCCCACAGTACGTGTCAGAAGTGGTGATTGGGGCCCCATACGCAGTCACAGCAGAGCTCCTAAGTCACTTCAAGGTGAGGCTCCGCATGGGCTGGGAGTGCCGTCTGGCCGTGGGCTCCTAGGTGGGGCCTAGGAGGTGCCTGGGCTGAGGAATGGGCAGGGTCAGCTCTCCTAACCCCGGGGCCTGTGCTGGGCTGTGGGTGGCGACGGTGGCTGCCTCCCTGGGGAGGGCTCCTGACCCCCCTCCTTCTCCAGGTGGACCTGGTGTGTCACGGAAAGACAGAAATTATACCGGACAGGGATGGCTCCGACCCATACCAGGCAGGTCATGGCCCTCGCTGGGCACAGGGGTTGCCATTGGCACTTCCCACTTAATGCCTCACTGTACCTGCCTGGGAAACAGGCACAGTGGCCACAGCTGCTCTGACTGCACCACTCCCACGGGACCCTGGGTGCTGGTCTCTCTCTGGGACAGGGCACTGGATGGGTCCTAGGGAGGTCAGCAGGAACCTTCATCCCCCTCCTCCTCTCTGGACCCCAGGAGCCCAAGAGAAGGGGCATCTTCCGTCAGATTGACAGTGGCAGCGACCTCACCACAGACCTCATTGTCCAGAGGATCATCACCAACAGGTGAAGCTGGCAGGGGACACTTTGGAGCCACCTCGTAGGCGCCCTCCACTAGACTCACCCTGCCCTCCCCCCAGGTTGGAGTATGAGGCGCGAAACCAGAAGAAAGAAGCCAAGGAGCTGGCCTTCCTGGAGGCTGTCAGGCAGCAGGCAGCCCAGCCCCTGGGGGAGTGAGATGGTGGCTTCTGACCTGGTGGAGGCTCTGGCCAGCCCTCACCCTGCTCTGCTTCTGCACCTTCTGCATTTGCCATAGGACTCTGGGCCGCCCTCTCTAACTGGCCTGGCTATGGAAAGGCTGGTGAGGACTTTGCCTCTTGCCTGCTTTCAAGGCACCTGGTTCACAGCAGGCTCTCTGCCCTTTCAGTGAAGTTGCTCAGAGAGGGCGTCCAGCACCTGGACAGAGGCCACACTGACTGCCCACCGAGCTGTGGTGGGAAATGCAGAACAGAGGGCTTTAGGGAGCAGTGACCAGGGTCACCCCTTTAGTTCTCTGGGTACAGACCATGCCACCTCCCACTTGGCACCCCCCAACACAGTGTCCTGCCACCTGGAAAACGTGCTTGCCTTTCTCCCTGGCAGCTTCCTGGCTCTCCTTATGGACTCCATTCTGTTTGAATATAATGGCTAATGTAAATCTCTTTGGTATAACCAAATAAAGCCTGGTGGCAGTGCTGTGCGCGGTTCCCCGCCCTGCTGGGAAGGACTGGGGAACCACCCACCCAGCAAGGAATGCCTCTTGGCCCTTGTGGACATCCCCACAAGGGCAGGCACCCTCCCCAATTTCTTCCCACGAGGGACAGCCGGGAGAGGGCATGCCCTCAGAATGCACCCAGCAGCCGGTAGGGCAGCGGGCAGCCTGGCAGTGAGTGGAACCCCAGCCTCCAGCCCTCCAAAGTGTGGGGCTGCCCCCTACAGCAAGGGAAGCTAGAGTAGGGAGGAGAACCAGGGTGGAGGCTCCTTGACCCTGCAGCGGCCATGGGATCTCTGCTTCCTGCACCTGTCAGGGCCCGCCTGGAGCAGCCCAGAGGCCAACAAGGCTCTTATGGCAGCCTCCGCTGTCCTCTGCTTTTGTAAGGTCGACCTCACCACCTAGCACAGGAGCCGGAGGTGAGGTGCACCCGAGGCTCTCCCACAGCCCAGGAAGGCAGTGTCTCACCTTGCTCTCCTAGCCATGAGCCAAGGTGTGAGAAGCACAGGCAGGCCATCCTGGTCCCACCAGGCCCCCACCTTCAGGAGTGGGGTGGTGCCAATGCTCCCCCTCAACCCCTGGGCTTTGGGGTCCCCTGAGCAGAGGGACCAGCCAGTCCCCCAAGATTGGGGCAGGGGCTGCCTGGGCCCCAGGCTGGGGGAGGGTGGAAAGGCCCCAAGTGTGCTGCCTGGGCCTGGCCCTGTTCCCTTACCAGCACTGGAGGTCAGGGCCCACACCAGAGACCCAACCACAGAGGGAGAACCCACCCGTCTCCCACCCTCAGCTCTGAGAGGCATGTTCCAGGCCTCTGGAGCCAGGGCTCAGGCCCCCAACTCTTCTTGCCCCTGCTCTCTTGGACCTGGCCTGGCCAGAAGGGATGGGGGAAGAGGAAGGCAGCCAGGGGCTCTAGCCCGTGCCCTCACAGATTGGGCTCTCAAGTGTGGGTGCAAAGGAATGGGTGAAGACACTGGGGACAGTGCCAGCAGTGGCCCTGCACTTGCCCCCAGGGAACAACAACGCTAGGTTCGCCTTCACCTTGGGCTGGGGTCCTTCCAGGCATGGGTCCTGGCCAGCTTCACCCGGGGGGATCTGAAAACCTCTGGGCTGCCCAGGCCAACTTTGCCCTGCTGCCACACACCCCGATGCCCTCTCCTACCCATGTTTGGGGACTTCCAGGCCCGGTACCCCTCGTGGTCCGACTGCCTATCATTCAGCACTCCTCATTCCGAGGCAGCCTTATTTATTTATTTACCATTAACTGCAGGGTGGGCGGAGTAGGGGAGAGCTGGAGCGCCATCCTGCACCCGGCGGGGCCCGGAATCCCGGAGTGGGACGGTAGGGGCGGGGTCCCCATTGGTGCCAGGCGAGGTCCAGGTCTGGGGTCCGGGCTCAGGGGCGCGGCAGTCGACTGCGCGCAGGGACAGGAAGATGTCCACCTTGCACTGGAAGGTCCCGAGGCCGTCGGGGAGCCGCTCGCACCTCTGCAGGTTCGGGGCAACGTCCTGGACGCACAAGGCCTGGGACAGGTGGGTGGAGGCTGAGGGGCCGCCGCGCCCCAACCCCTGTCCTGCCGCCGCACCCCCCCCAACAGCTCCTGGCCCACTAGACTCACGAGACTCCGCAGCCTGGGGTGCAGCTCGAGGGAGGCGCCGGCTGGGCCCGGGGGTTGCGCCCCGCTGTGGAGCTGGGAGCGCCGCGCGTACGGGGACCTGCGGAAGCCAGACAGCAGCCCCGCAGCGCGGCCCACAGAGTAGGAGTTGCGCCCCGTTGCTGACTTGTACCACGCGAGGCCGGGCGGCGCCAGCAGCAGGCACAGCGCCAGAGCAGCAGCTGCCAGTGTCGCGGGCCGGGCCATGGGGCTGCGGACCGGTAGGCAGCGGCGTCGAGGCTCAGAGCAGCCACCTCCTGGGCCGCCTTTATATCTGCGGGGGGGCGGGGGCGGGGGCGGGCCGAGGCCCCGGTGGGCGGGCTGGCTGGGGGTGCAGCGAGCCCGCGCGCGGAGGACTGGTCGCACCTCTCCATCCCAGAGGAACCAGCACCGCGAGTGAGCACGGCACAGAGGTCTGGCTCTTGGTGGAAGCCCGATGCCCCCTCAAGCTTCCCACCCACACCGCTCGCGCCCTCCAGACCCGGCCTGGGTGGGCTTCAATGGGAGTAGGGGAAGGCCCAAGGGCGCCCAGCCCTAGGAATCGTTCCCCAGGAGGTCCGCAGTATTCCTGAGGCTGGAGAGGACCGCACAGTGCCCAGGGGGCGGGTTCTCCCACCCTAAGGGAGATTCTTGGCCGGAGTTTGGCCCAAGGCATCAGAGTCCGCGCGGCTTGCTGGGACCCTCATATCTTTCATGCCCATGGGGGAGGTTCCACCAGTAGGGCTACTACTGGCCGGGTCCTCTGGGAGCAGGGCAAGAAGGCCAGGCACTGACCTCAGGAAAGCCACATGAGGCACTGGAGCTCCAGGATTCCTGGCCTAGGATTGGAGGCCCCTCCCTGCCTAGCTCTGCCCCTGCGGGCCGGTGGCCTGGAAGCTCCTTCCACCTAGGTGTGCCTGGCACCTTCTTCATTCACGCAGCAGACACGGAGGTCCGGTCAAGCAGGAAATGGAGCTGACGGCAGAGCGCGAAGGGGAATTGCTCCAGGGATGAAGCAGAGAGGCCTGGGGGATGTTTTCAGAGGTCCCCAGAATTCTGGGCCTGTCTGGCAGGGCACACAGACTGATGCTCTCGACCGGACAGTACCCCAAAAGGGCCCTGAGCTTTCATAGGGAAGGCAGATGGCGGAGCAATGCAGGAGAGGGAGCAGAGGTGGCCCAGGAGAAGCCCCTGCTGTGCCCAGGAATCACAGAATTGGAGGAATCCAGGTGGCTGGGAAGCCAAGAGGCAGGCAGTTGGCCACAGCGGGTTGAGTTGAGCCTGCATATCCTGTCATTCAGGAGGAGGCGCCAGGAAGGACGGAAGCAGAGCACATTCCCTAGGAGAGGCTCCATCTCCCAGGAGACAGTGGGCACTCCAGGAAGGAGGGCAGGCAGGGGCCTGCCCCCACCAAGCCTGGGGAACCCAAGCCAGAGAACATCCAGGAAGCTCTGGGGCCACAGACCTCTCACCTGCGTCACTGCAGCCCCTGTGGGGGTCCCAGCCAGCATCCTGACTCCTCAGTATTGGCACCCATGCCCAGATCCAGACTTCGGTGCCTGCCCAGCACTGGCCAGATGTAGAAGTTTGCAGAGCGGCCAGGAGAAGCTCTGCGGGGCACCAGGCAGGACTGCTGGACACTCTCCTGGCAGGTGCCATTCAAGCTCACTGTGCCCTCACCATTTCATGCTCCCCCCAGGTCCTGGTCACGTCTTCTTTTAGATATGTCCTCAGGACAGGCACTGGCACTGCAGCCCTGACACCTGTGTTTCAGGGTTCCATGCTTCCCAGGTGTGATGGCAAATACTGAGGGTCAACTTGATAGGACTGAAGGAGGCAAAGTACTGTCCCTGGGTGTGTCCGTAAGGGTGGCGCTAAAGGAGATTCACATTTGAGTCAGTGGACTGAGAGAAGCAGACCCACCCTCAATCCAGGTGGGCACCATCTTATCAGCTGCCAGTGTGGCCAGGATACAAGCAAGCAGAGGAACGTGAAGGACTGGACTGGCTGAGTCCTCTGGCCTCCATTTCTCTTCCATGCTGGGTGCTTCCTGCTCTTGAACCACGAACCCCAAGTTGTTCAGCTTTTGGACTTTTGGACTCACACCAGTGGTTTGCCAGAGGCTCTCGGGCCTTTGGCCACAGACTGAAGGCTGCACTGTCAGCTTCCCTACTTTTGTTTTGGGACTTGGACCAGCTTCCTTGCTCCTCACCTTGCAGATGGCCATTGTGGAACTTCACCTTGTGATTGTGTGAGTCAATTCTCCCAATAAACTCCCTCCCTAGATAGGTCTATCCTATACGTCCTGCCCCTCTAGGGAACTCTGACACAGATTTCTGGTGAGTTCTGGTCTAGTCCCCAGGGTGCTGTGAGGAAGGAAGCGTGTCAAGAGGCTCACACTGGGCATGGGGCACTTGCCCTGTGCATGCCAAGGGCTCCCTAGGTTATTGGACACAGCCTGTGCCGTCTCCATCCAGAAGCAGCCTCAGACCCTGGGGCTGGGCCACCCTTCCCTAGGCAGGGGACCCTCAGACATGTGTGGACATACTTCTCAGTGTCAGGACATCAATACCTACACTGCAAGGGGCCCAGCCCCAATGAGGAGCTGCCATCAGTCCCAGTGAGAGAGAAGGGATAGAGAGAACAGGAGCCCACTCAGAGATGGTGGCCATCAGTCTGGAGGGACCATGAGCTGGAGACAGTAGCTGCCAGCTGTGCATGACCAGGTTCACTCAGAGCCCAAGGAAGGGTTCCAGGGCCACCGCAAGGCTTCCAGCAGGCAAGAGCATGCCCCAGGCCCTGTTTCATCCTGCTCTTTCTCCTCTTAAGAGTTGTGACTCAGGATTTGATGTGGGCCTTGGCAGTGTTTCACAGAGATGTTTATTCATGAGTTTTCATATCAAAACACATGGAGACCGCATCAATATGCCAAGAACACAGGCACCCAAAGGCCTCCGGCAAGATTTGAGTAGTTTAATGAGTTTTACTTATTAGATAAAAGTGTCAACATCGTGATGGAAAAAAAAACGAAGCTCCAGCCCTCATTCCACCTTGTTGCAGCCCAAGAGAACTGTCCCCAACAGCGACTACAGCCACTGGCGCCAGCATGAGGAGGGGTCTCAGGACGCCACCTCCAATGAGGGCAAGGCTGGGCCCTCACTCCTTGAACTTCCACTCCTGGCGACACATGGGGCAGTGCTGCTGCACCTGCTGCGCGTGAAGCCACTTGAGGATACAGTGCATGTGGAAGCAGTGGGAGCACTGGCCCCACACCAATGGGCAGTCGTCGCCGGGCACCTTGCCTGCAGGGGGGCGGGGGGGGGGAAGAGAGGATGGGCGTGACCAGGCTGGACACAGAGCATGTGACAAGTCAGGCAGAGGCGCAGGGAGGAACCCTGGGCAGTGTAGTTTCTCATGTTTCAGAAAAGCCGAAATCAGGAGAGTTACCCAATCAGTCTCCTGACTAGATTGCCCCCAGGCAAAGAGCAGCAATGACCAAGACAGGAGGCCCCCACTCAGGACAACTGCAGCAGGCACTCATCTGAGGCGGTGACAAGGAGCTCTGGCCTAGCCCACCATGTCTCCCCTGTGCTTGAGACTGGGGAAAAAGGGCATTGTCCGACCTACAAGCCCTGGGGCCCATCTGCAGACACTTGATCTGTGATGCCAAGAAGGTCATATGAATGGTCAAGGCACCAAGGAGACTCCCATCTGGGTAGTGAACAGGTCTCTTGATCAAGGGCAGGAGGGGTGGGGCCTGGGGACCCAGAAGACTCTTCCTAGACATCTAGGATTGGGTGTGCTGCCCGGGGGCTGGAGACACCGTGCTGATGGGCAGCTGTGGATGGGCCCTGCCAGCTGAACAGCACTGCATCCATCTCTCATCTGCTACCTCAAAGGGCTCTGCCTCCCAGGACAGGCACAGGCTGCGGGCACTGGCGCAAACACCTAGAAATGCTCTCTCCATGGAGAGGGCCTGGTACAGAGAAGGATGCTCGATGCTTGTATCACCAATGATCAAGAGAAACAAGCATCCCTGATCTCCAAGAACCTGAAGACCCCATGGAACAGCTGCAGCCAGCTGAGCACAGCAAGTCCCAGCCTTAGCCCCACAGCAGGGTCAGCCTGGCATTGTGGAGCTGGAGCTCTCAGCTGCCCCAGTCCTGGCAGCACCAGCCCCACAGCAAGCCGGCTCCCAGCCCCAGGAGGACCCGCCCATGGGGGCTTTCTAGCCTCAGCACAATTCTGCTTGAAATCACCTCTTTCAAATTAGAGTTGTCAAGGACAGGGGTCTGGGCCACACCAAGTCCTGGGGGAAGGCTAATTGGGACAAAGGTGCCGCTTCATTCTAGTGTGTCTGCCACGTGAAGCTGGCCTGGGGTGTCTGATGAGTCTGAGGATGCACTGAGGCACTGACGGTGACTCATTAGAGGACCTGCCCATCTCCCTGATTGCATTTTTTAAATTAAAATACCTCTGGGCAACATTCATTGTTACCAGAGTCCTCTGGGATGCGGAATGGATTCATTGTTTACCAGCCTCCGGCTCCCAGGGTCTTTGTTGAACTTAGTCACTTTGAATTTTTCACAGTTCAATTTTAGCAAAAGAAACCTGGGGCTGCTTATCCTCTATGGAAAGCACAGAAGACTTGTCAAACACTGTGCCTTAAAACTGACTCACTAAAGGCTGGGCAGGGTGGCTCACACCTGACGTCCCAGCACTCTGGGAGGCTGAGGCAGGCGGGTCACCTGGGTTCGGGAGTTCCAGACCAGTCTGGTCAACATGGTAAAACCCTGTCTCTACTAAAAATACAAAAATTAGCCAGACGTGGGGGCGCATTCCTGTAATCCCAGCTACTCAGAGTCTGAGGCAGGAGAATCCCTTGAACTCAGAAGGCGGTGGTTGCAAGTGAGCCGAGATGGCGCCACTGCACTCCAGCCTGGGCGAAAGAGCAAGGCTCCATCTCACACACACAAAAAGCAAGCCCAGACGATTGTGGTGGTGTGCTACCTGGCAGGGTGAGGCAGGACAACTGCTGGAGCCCAGGAGTTCAAGTCCAGCTAGGGCAACATAGTGAGACCCTGTCACTAGAACAACAACAGAAACAACAAAAAATGGCGGGCACGGAGGCTCACACCTGTAATTCCAAGCTGAGGCCGGCAGATCACAAAGTCAGGAGTGAGACCAATCTGGCCAATACAGTGAAACTCTGTCTCTACTAAAAATACAAAAAAAAATTAGCCAGGTGTAGTGGTGTGCACCTGTAACCCCAGCTACTTGGAAGGCTAAGACAAGAGAATTTCGTGAACCGGGGAGGCAGAAGTTGCAGTGAGCTGAGATTGTGTCATGGCACTCCATTCTGGGTGACAGAGCAAGACTCCATTTCAAAAAAAAAAAAAAGAGCCTCTATTATCAATATGGGCATTCACCTGGCCCCACCAAAATACACCTGGTTACTTGGGGTAGTGAGAAGGAGCTTCTCAGCACTCCCTATTCCCCACTGTCCTCTGGGGAGTTCTTCCTATCCTCCCTGGGCAAAGCCCTGGCCCTTGCTTCTGGTTTACATTCATTTTGGTGTCGTGAAAAACCATTTCATTGGTGTAAAACTCTGCTTTCAACCTAAATGTAATCAAACATCTCCACTTTACAGAACTTACTGGGGACAGAGAGAATGCACAAGACACTTATAAAGAAAAAATGTGATAAGCCTGAAGATAAAGCACCCTGCAAAGAAACATACCATGTTTTTAAGAGAGTCAAATGTCTTGAAAAAGTTAAAGTTGGATAGAGGAGGGGGTTGTAGATTACAGGGCTAAGAAATGGATTAATGTTGAAAAGTTGAGTCCTGGCCAGGTGTGGTGGCTCACACCTATAATCCCAACACTTTGGGAGGCCAAGGCAGGCAGATCACCTGAGGTCAGGAGTTTAAGGTCAGCCTGGCCAACATGGCAAAGCCCCATCTTTACTAAAAATACAAAAATTATCCCAGTGTGGTGGTGAGCACCTATAATCCCAGCTACTTGGGAGGCTGAGGCAGGAGAATTGCTTGAACCTGAGAGGTGGAGGTTGCAATTCACACCACTGCCTGGCCAACAAAGCGAGACTTCATCTCAAATAAATAAATAAATTAATTAATTAATTAAAATAAATAAATAAAAGTTGAGCCCTGGGCCAGGCACAGTCCCTCATACCTGTAATCCCAGCACTTTGGGAGGCTGACGCAGGCATATTGTGAGGTCAGGAGTTCGAGACTAACCTGACCAACATAGTGAAACCCCATCTCTACTAAAAACACAAAAATTAGCCAGGTATGGTTAGCACATGCCTGTAATTCCAGCTACTCAGAAGGCTGAGGAAGGAGAATTGCTTGAACCCAGGAGGCAGAGGTTGCAGTGAACCAAGATCACCCCACTGTACTCCAGCTGGGCGACAGAGCGAGACGTTGTCTCAAAAAAAAATAAAATAAAAGCCGAGTCCTGGCTCAAACCACTCAACCATAAAAAAGACATTTGGGGACAGCTGGTGAAACAAGAAGCAGGAATGACTGTGAAACTGCCAGATGTACAACAGTGGTGGGTAAAAAGACACATGGCTGAAGTGTGTGGGAAGATGCATCAGATATAAAATTTTAAATCATTAGTCATGGCCGGGCGCAGTGGCTCACACCTGTAATCCCAGCACTTTGGGTGGCCGAGGTGGGTAGAACACGAGGTCAAGAGGTCGAGACCATCCTGGTCAACATGGTAAAACCCCATCTCTACTAAAAATACAAAAAATTAGCTGGGCACGGTGGTGCGTGCCTGTAAATTCCAGCTACTCAGGAGGCTGAGGTAGGAGAATTGCCTGAACCCAGGAGGCGGAGGTTGCGGTGAGCCGAGATCGTGCCATTGCACTGCAGCCTGGGTAACAAGAGCAAAACTCCATCTCAAAAAAAAAAAAAAAAAAATCACTAGGCACAAAAAATAAAGCTAATATGGAAACATGATTTGCCGTTTTTCAATGTGCTGGAAAGGGAATGCCCTTATTCCATTCAACTTTTTTTTTTTTGAGATTGAGTCTTGCTCTGTTGCCCAGGCTGGAGTGCAGTGGTGCAATCTTGGCACACAGCAACCTCCGCCTCCCAGGTTCAAGTGATTCTTCTGCCTCAGCCTGGAGTAGCTTGGATTACAGGCCACCCACCAACATGCCCGGCTAATATTTATGTATTTTCAATAGAGACAAGTTTTTGCTATGGTGACCAGGCTGGTATCAAACTCCTGGCCTGAAGCAATCCACCCACTGGCCTCCTAAAGCACTGGGATTACAGGTGTGAGCCATAAGGCCCAGCCTATGCCATTCAATTTTGAGACCTTTCAAGTAAAAAGTTTAATCTCTTTTTAATGCCATGTATTTCACAGCTGAGTTTCATCTTATCAAATGCAGTGAAAGGATCTTTATACTGACCTGGGTTCCAACCACCTGGCTTTTTTTCTATCAACTTTTCTTCAAGAAATGAAAATGAAAATGTGGGGCCGGGCGCATTGGCTCACGCCTGTAATCCCAGCACTTTGGCAGGCCAAAGCGGGCAGATCACCTGAAGCTGGAAGTTTGAGACCAGCCTGACCAACATGGAGAAACACCATCTCTACTAAAAATACAAAATTAGAAGGGTTTGGTGGTGCATGCTGGTAATCCCAGCTACTTGGGAGGCTGAGGCAGGAGAATCCCTTGAACCTGGGCGGTAGAGGCTACAGCAAGCCAAGATTGCACCATTGTACTTCAGCCTGGGAAACAAGAGCAAAACTCCATCTCAAAAAAAAAAAAGGAAAATGTGGGGATTTCCTGCAAGTATATTTAACAGGAGCCACTGAGGCTAGTCCAGCAGGCAGACAGCGGAAGGGACACTCACAGTCGGGGCAGCAGCCATTAAACGCCATCCTGCAGATGCCACAGTTCTCATCGTTGGCCACCCAGAGCCAAGTGGCCACGCCATTCCAGCACTTAATCTTCACCTTCATGGCAGCAGAGCCTGTACCCGAAGGGAAGAGGATGACAGGCTTAATTTAGTCTGCAGAACTAGAAGATTTAGGCACCAAAATAGGAATAAGCCTGGCACAGTGTAGTCTCAGCTACTCAAGGGGCCAAGGCAGGAGATCACTCCAGCCCAGGAATTCGAACCCAGCCTAGGAACATCGTAAGCCGTTTCTATTTTACTTTTCTTTTGTTTTTGAGACGGAGTCTTGCTCTGTCGTGTAGGCTAGAGTACAAGGGCGCACTCTTGGCTCACTGCAATCTCCGCCTCCCGGGTTCAAGCCGGCCTCCCAAAGTGCTGGGATTACAGACATGAGTCATCGCGCCCGGCCCGACTAATTTTTTTTTTTTTAAGAGACAGTGTCTCACTATGTTGCCCGGCTGGCCTCACTGAGCTCAAGCAATCCTTCCACCTCGGCCTCCCAAGCAGCTGGGATTACAAGTGTGCAATGGCACACCCGACTTTCGACTTTTTTTTTTTAGATATGGGGGTCTCACTACGTTGCCCCAGCTGGTCTCAAACTCCTAGGGTGAAGCGATCCTCTTGCCTCGGCCTCCCAAAAAGTTTGGAGCACAGGCGTGAGCCCCGCGCCGGGCCCGTACCAAAACTTGTAAAGGATATGACTAGCAAATGTGAGATTGGAGACTTCGAGGTTGCAGGTGGAGACCAAAAACCCCGGCTCAAAAACCAAAAAGCAACCCGCAGCAGGTCTGCACCGGCTGCCGCCCGCTGAGGCCACTCCCGCAGGATCCCGCCCCGAGCCAAGCGCACAGCCCTCGGGCGGGCGCAGAAACAAGGACCCCCGCAGGTTCCCGGACACCCGCCGCGCCCGCAGCGCCCCCAGCCCTAGCAGAAGGGCGGGGCAGGCGGGGAGGGAGGGGAGCGCATGCCCCACTCCCAACGACCGCCGCCCAACCCCCTGCGGCCTCGCACCTTCGCCAACCTAATCACGCACGGCTCTGCCCGCCCTTCCGTTGGCAGCGCTGACGTCCGCGCGGGAAGGTATAAAAACGACCACAGTCACGGCCCGGCTCCCTCAGCAGCGCCCGCCGAGTCCCGCGCGGCAGTGCGCACGCGCTTCCCCGCCTCTCCCCGTCCCGCGCGCGCTGCGGTCCGCAGGCGGCCAATCACTAGCCGCTCCGAGGCCGTAGCACCGGAAGGCCTCACGCGGCGCCGGAGGTGACGTGCTGGCGTGCTGACGCGCGGGCTCGAGCCGATGCCCGATTCCGCGCCCGCCATGGCCGACAAAATGGACATGTCTCTGGACGACATCATTAAACTGAACCGGAGCCAGCGAGGAGGCCGCGGCGGGGGCCGGGGCCGCGGCCGGGTCGGCTCCCAAGGCGGCCGCGGCGGCGGGGCGCAGGCCGCCGCGCGAGTGAATCGAGGCGGCGGGCCTATCCGGACCCGGCCGGCCATCGCCCGCGGCGCGGCCGGCGGAGGCGGGAGGAACCGACCGGCGCCCTACAGCAGGGTGAGTGTGGAGGCCGGCCGCACCGGAGAGGGCAAGCCGGGGAGGCTGGCGGCGAAGGCCGAGCCCGGCTGGCTGATAGGGCTGGTGGAGCGGCCGCCCGGAGGTCCGGAGGGTGCGTGTGGGAGGGCGCATAGGGGGTGGTGGGCGGGGGCGAGGTCGTTCATTCCGGGCCCGGCCCGGAGGCTGAGATCCTTTTCAACCCTTTGTTCCGGCCGCCGGGACCTCGTGGCGGCGTGAGCGGAGGGGTAGCTGAGCGCGGCAACAGCGGCGGGAAGTTAGTGGAAGGGAACTGAAGTTGTGCTGCCGCGGTGGGACCGTGCGGCCTCGTACCTGGGGCTGCTTTAGCGGCCGGAGGGAGCGCTGGCGGCCTCATCTCCGCCGGATCCTCTCAGGCCGGGAAGAGGAAGGGTCCGGGGTCGCCGCGAGGACTGGGAAAGCCCTGGACTGAGACTCACAGGTCTGCTGTTGTTGTGGTTTTTCCTTCAGCCAAAACAGCTTCCTGACAAGTGGCAGCACGATCTTTTCGACAGTGGCTTCGGGGGTGGTGCCGGCGTGGAGACGGGTGGGAAACTGCTGGTGTCCAATCTGGATTTTGGAGTGTCAGATGCCGATATTCAGGTAAGAGACTAAGGCTTCTCGGTGACCCGTTCGCCCTGCACAGGACGGATCATATTTTGGGGGATGTGGCCCTGAGTCCCCTTCCCGCCTTGGCAAAGGGAGCCCTCCCAGCTCTGAAGGGCTGCAGGACAGACCTAGCGCCAGTAAAGCCAGGGTCAGTCCGCAGGCAGGTGCGAGCCTAGCCTAGCCTGAGGATCTGCTGCTCTTAGTCTGAATATGGGTTCTGTGAGTGAAAATCCTCTGCCAGGGCTTCCAGTTTCTAACAGAGAAAAAGACTGATCAAATGTGAGTGGTTCTTGGCTGTTAGACTCAGCCCACTTGTGCTTTAAATTTAGTGCCTGTTTTAGTGGGTTAATGTGACAAAAAGAATCTTCCTTATGTACCTTGTAAAGCAGAGGGAGCCTGTGTGTTTTTCTAGCTCTGTTTGACTTGAGTATTGTCTTAAAAAGACCTTGTAAATTGTGGTTTTATCACTCCCCGCCCCCATGTCCTGTCAGCGACTTGATTCTCTAACTCATTAAAGCTTTTTTTTAAAAAAAAAAAAAAAAAGAAAGAAAGAAAAATTGAATCCCAACGGCATTTAAAGTTGTTTTCTGGTTAAGAAGTGGCTTTTTGGGAATCAGTTTTGGAGATGGCTGGGCAGGGTTCAGTTGTCCACAGCCTAGCCATTTGCCTTGGGAGGACAGAGCAGGGCCAGTGAGCACTCACAGTGTCTCAACACTTTTTTTAAGGTGGTTTCTAGCATCCACTGGAAACCGCTTTTGGTGAACTCCACTTCCCGCTGTGTGCCTGCGGCCGGAGTATCCCCACACTCTGGGTTCCCTCTCCAACTCCCAGCCTGCCTGAGGTCAGGGCAGTTTCCATGGCAGCGCTTGACTTCAGACTTTGCCGCAGGCTTGAGTAGGAGGAGAGGGAAAGGTGAGCCAGAATCTGCCTTTGGGGGAGGGGCTGGGGTCAGGGTTCCCAAGTCAACAGGCCCTTCAAGCTGGTCTGATACCGGACCAGTTCCCTTGCTCTTGATCTTGGCCTTTACAGTTTCTTGGAACAGCCCTTGGGTGTGTTGTAAATTTTCCTTTGTTGAAGAGGATAGTGGCTTAATTTTGTGCCCCTTTCTAGTGGGCTTTGCGACTTCCTCTACCTGCATCGTGGTACACCTGTCAGGTCCCCTCAATGGCAGGAGCCCTCAGACCCAGGCGCTCTTGGAAGTTGCTGTCCCTCCTGCCCTGCCCTTCCCTCATTTCCCATTACCACTGCCCTGCCTCCCAGGGAACCACCCCCAAAACAGCTCACGCTTCCAGGGCCTGTCCCTGGGCCACCAGAAGGAGCACAGTTTTGTTGCTCTTCTGACAACTGCTCTTTGCAACTCCAGGAACTCTTTGCTGAATTTGGAACACTGAAAAAGGCAGCTGTGCACTATGACCGCTCTGGCCGCAGCTTAGGAACAGCAGATGTACACTTTGAGCGGAAGGCAGACGCCCTGAAAGCCATGAAGCAGTATAACGGTGTCCCTCTGGATGGTGAGTGTGGGCGGGGGGACCCACGCTGACTGTCGGGCTTGTGGAGTTTGGGGCTGGCACCTGTCCAGGTAGGAATATGGGGTACCCCTGTGGCTGAGGACACTTTGCATTTGCCCCTTTGTCTCTCTCTTCCATCTGCCACCTCTCATGCTGCCCCACACATCTGGACCAACCTCTTGTGAACCCCCATCCAGCAAGCTACATCCCTCCCCTCCTTCAGCTCCTTCCGGAAGATTCACTTCTGTGAAGCCTTCTCAGAACCGCCATAGTACACCTCTGAGTGCGGGGCTGTAGTCGTAAAGACAAAGGTACCGGTTCTTCTTCGTCAGGTCACCCACACCTCTCCACCTACGAGCACCCCAACACCTCAGCAAGCAGCCCACCTAGTCTAGACTGAGAAGGAGTGAGGAGGTGTTGGTGGGGTTGCTTCCTTGCCATTTTGTTCTCCCGCCAGTATCTCCAGGCCATTTCCCTTGTCGGGGGCATTTGAGATGCACAGAGGCCCTTTCCAGTGTTTGCATGGAGACCAGGGTGTGGTGCCAGCTGGGTTGGTTTCAGAGCCTCTCAGAACGTGTCCTTTTGTATTCTTTGTCGCAGGCCGCCCCATGAACATTCAGCTTGTCACATCACAGATCGATACACAGCGGAGACCTGCACAGAGGTGACTTGTGGGGCCTCTAGGGAAGGGATTGGCCTGGGGTGTGGCTGCATCGCCCTTGGGGTCTTTCCAGGTTTGTGAACAGTTCCATTTTCCTTGCTAGCGTAAACAGAGGCGGCATGACTAGAAACCGTGGCGCTGGAGGCTTTGGTGGTGGTGGAAGCACCCGGAGAGGCACCCGTGGAGGTGCCCGGGGAAGAGGCAGAGGCGCCGGCAGGAATTCAAAGCAGCAGCTTTCGGCAGAGGAGCTGGACGCCCAGCTGGACGCCTATAATGCAAGAGTGAGTCCGGGAGAGCCGGCTGGGGGCCTGGTCAGAGCCCCAGTGGGGAGCAGTCCTCACTGAGTGCGAGCCGCTTTCTCCTCTGTGTTTCAGATGGACACCAGTTAAACAGACCGGCAAATCCGTGTGGACAGGACCCAGGCGTCTCTTCTTGCTCCCTGACTGGGGAGTGGTGGCTGGGGCTGTGCGGCCAATAATGGATTTGTTTCTTTTATGTTTTAAAATAGGATTTAAAAACTCATGTAAAGGCTTTTTTTTCCTTTTTTTTTTTTTTTTAATTTCTGAAACAGACCTGTTTTGTACCGAGTTATTTTTGGGATAAATTTTACTGGTTGCTGTTGTGGAGAAGGTGGCATTTCCACCTTTTCCATAATAAAATAGAAATGTGTGTAGAACTGGATATGTTTGGTTTGTCCCACTGTTGGAGTCCAAGCCTGGGCCAGGACTTTGGTATCTGTCCAGCTGGGAGGAAGGGGGAACCTGAGTGGAGGATAGAGGGAGCAGCCCCATCTGGTGTTGGAAACCTAAAGCTCGGGTTCCCGGCTCCTGGAGGGCCAAGGCTGCCTGCCTTCTTTCTCTTCCTCTTTCCTGCCTCAAACCTAACACCTTCCTCTCTAACTCACCAGGTGGGAGGACACCTTTGCTGGGAGCCACCTGTTGACCCTTGTGCCTGTGCCTCCAGGTGAGGGGAGGTTGGGTGGAGTGGGCTGCCCTGGGTACCGCTGGGCTTTTCCTTTCCGTTTTGTATTCTGGTTTTCAGAGAAACATGCATTCAGCAGTTTTTGACTTTGTAGTGTAATTCCTTTGATTTTCTGGGCCTTTTTTTTTTTAACTTTGCCACATAACAAGGCACGAGGATGCTCTCTTGGTTGTAAATTTGATGTAATAGCTGGTGGAAGCTGAGTGGCACAACATCTGATACCTGTAATCCCAGCACTTTGGGAGGCCAAGGCGGGAGAATCTCTTGAGCCCAGAAGTTCGAGACTAGCCTAGGCAACGTGCAAAACCGTCTCTACTAAGAATACAAAAATTAGCCCAGTGTGGTGGTGCACCCCCAGGGTCTCAGCTATTCCAGAGGCTGAGGTGGGAGAATCTCTTGAGCCATGGAGGTCAAAGCTTCGATGAGCCATGATCACACCACCGCACTTGAAGCTGGGCAGTGGAGAGACAGCCTTCTGCCCCCTGATGCTGGGTTGGTGACAGCACTTCAAGAATGAGATGGGAAGGGGGACTGAGTGATGCTTTGTGCAGACAGCGACAAACTGGACTGGCAGCCTGTTCCCTAGGGGCACTTGGAACACCCTCTGCCTCAGGCAGTCCTGTGGTTTTGTGTTGGTACGCGTCTCTGTAGTCCCAGCTACTCTGGAGGCTAACACGGGAGAATCACTTGAACTTGGGAGGCAGAGGTTGCGGTGAGCCGAGATCACAGATCATGCCATTACACTCCAGTCTGGGCAAAAGTGAGCGAAGCTCTGGGAAAAAAAAAAAGCATAGGGATTGGCCCAGATTGGACACATGACTTAAGCATGTCCAGGCTGAGTTATACTCAGGATGTTCAACTGTGTGGAGAATAGGGAAGCCCTGTTCTTCCTGGTCCCTTTCCCTGGCCAGCATGGGTTGAGAGTAGGAACTGGCCAGCCCTGGGGAGGAGAGGAAGCACTCCCGTGGGACTTGGAGCTCTTCCAAGGTGGCTCATGGCCTGCCCAGCTCTGCCTTCAGCCCAATGACCTTGGAGAGGGTCTCAGGTGCAAGCAAGCAGCTCCCACAGGTGCTCTGGCTTCTGGCTGGTATGCAGAGATCTAACCAGCAATCTACACTAAGAAGCAGATTGAATCAAATTGTGTTCCACCTCACATGGGTTAAGGGGCTACACTGTTGCTCTCAGACATCCTTTGTGATCCCATGAGATGGCTGTGTCTATACCAGGTAACAAAGGTGTAGTGTAAATGAGTGCAACTTTTGGTTCTTACCTTCAGTGAACTGATGGTCTAATAGAGGAAACAAAAATGATAGGCTGCAGTCTAGCCTGTGGAGTGTGGGACATGGTGGGAGTGCAGGCTTCACAAGCACTCCTCCCTTTGGCTGCACCTCTGCTGGAAGTTCTACATACACGTTTAATTTATTCTCTCAGCAATCTAGTGATACAGTCTTTCATATTAGAATTTTTAATTTGAGAGTTTCGCTTTGTCACCCAGGCTCTAGCACAGCAGTGTGATCAAGGCTGCTCGCTGCAGTCTCAACCTCCTGGGCTGTTGATCTCAGCCTCCTGAATAGCTGGACCACAATGCCACTGTGGCTGGCTGATTTTTTGTATTATTTTTTTTTGTAGGGACTGGGGTCTCACTATGTTGCCAGGCTAATGTTGAACTGCTAGACTGAAGCAATCCTCTCACATTGGCCACCCAAACATGACAGGTGTGTCACTGTGCTGGCCTAATTTTAGAAGTTAAAAGGAAGTGGCCGGGCACAGTGGCTCAGACCTGTAATCCCAACACTTTGGGAGGCCAAGGCAGGTAGATTGCAAGCTCAGGAGATCGAGACGATCCTGGCCAACATAGTGAAACCCCGTCTCTACTAACAATACAAAAAAATTAGCCGGGCATGGTAGTGCATGCCTGTAGTCCCAGCTACTCGGGAGGCTGAGGCAGGGGGAATTGTTTGAACCCAGGAGGCAGAGATCATGCCTCTGCACTACAGCCTGAACAACAGTGTGAGACTTCGTCTCAAAAAAAAAAAAGGCAAGTTGGTTTTCTTACTCCACAGATACATGGGGTCTGCTGCACTCCAGGTACCCATTTCAGGTGCCAAGGAAACCAGCAGTGAATGAAACACAATCTCTGCCCTTGTAGAGCACATGTTCTAATCAGAAAACAGTGAAATGCAGGATGTCAGATGGTGAAAAGGCTGCTGAAGAAAACCAAGCTGGGACTGGGGAGGAGTTGGGTGGGGCCTGGCTGGTCTTAGTTCTACAGGGTCAGAGGCCTGAGCTAAATAAATGGATATCTGGGGAAAAGCATCACTGGCAGAGAGAATGGCAGGTGCAAAGGTGCCGAGCTGAGAACACACTTGGGAGGTTCAGGAACAAGCCAGGGAAAGACATGGCTCAGGTTGGCTGGGCGCCATGAAGCAGGGCATTAATATTTGCCCTTGCTACGCCTTGAAGGAAGGAGCCCTTTAAGGACATCACCCAGAGGTGGTCTGCCCAGGGGAAGAGCCACCAGTGTGGGGAGGTCATGGGCTGGGACCCGGCATAGAGGCCTTGATGTGGATGACACCTGGAGGCAGAGGCTGTAGAGTCAACTTTTAGTCCTGTTTTGTTTTTTTTTTGTATATTTTTGAGGCAGAGTTTCGCTCTTGTTAACCAGGCTGGAGTGCAATGGTGCGATCTCTGCTCACCACAACCTCCGCCTCCTGGGTTCAGGCAATTCTGCCTCAGCCTCCTGAGTAGCTGGGATTACAGGCACGTGCCACCATGCCCAGCTAATTTTTTGTATTTTTAATAGACGGGGTTTCACCATGTTGACCAGGATGGTCTCGAGCTCTTGACCTCGTGATCCACCCGCCTCGGCCTCCCAGAGTGCTGGGATTTACAGGCTTGAGCCACCACGCCCGGCCTTGTTTTGTTTTAAAAATATATAAAATATAAAGTGCTTTCTCTTTTTTTGAGACTGAGGCTGTTGCCCAGGCTGGAGTGCAATGGCATGAACTCAGCTCACTGCAACCTCCGCCTCTGGGATTCAAGGGATTCTTCTGCCTCAGCTTCCTGAGTAGCTAGGACTGCAGACATGTTCCACCACACCCAGCTAATTTTTGTATTTTTAGTAGCGACGGTTTCACCATGTTGACCAGGCTGGTCTCAAACTCCTGACCTCAAATGATCTTCTGCCCACCTTGGTCTTCTAAAGTGCTGGAATTACAGGTGGGAGCCACTGTGAGTCACTGTGCCCAGCCTAAAGTATTTTTTTTTGGAGACAGTTTTCTTTCTGTTGTCAGGCTGAGGTGCAGTGGCATGATCTTGGCTCACTGCAACCTCTGTCTCCCAGGTTCACACAATTCTCCTGCCTTAACCTCCCAAATAGCTGGGACTACAGGTGCACACCACCACGCCCAGCTCATTTTTTTTTTTTTCGAGATGGAGTTTTGCTCTTGTTGCCCAGCTGGAGTACAATGGCATGATCTCGGCTCACTGCAACCTCCGCCTCCCAGGTTCAAGTGATTTTTCTGCCTCAGCCTCCCAAGTAGCTGGGATTACAGGTACCCACCACCAACCTGGCTAACTTTTTGTGTTTTCAGTAGAGACAGTGTTTCACTGTGTTGGCCAGGCTGGTCTCAATCTCTTGCTCCTGATCTGCCCAACCTGGCCTCCCGCAGTGTTGGCATTATGGGTGTGAGCCACCACACCCAGCTTCAAGTAGTCTTAAAACTTTCTTATGAGGGCCAAGGCGCAGTGGCTCACACCTATAATCCCAGCACTTTGGGAGGCCGAGGCAGGTGGATCACAAGGTCAAGAGATCGAGACCATCCTGGTCAACAAGGTGAAACCCCGTCTCTACTAAAAATACAAAACTTAGCTGGGCATGGTGGTGCGCATTCAGGAGGCTGAGGCAGGAGAATTGCTTGAGCCCAGGAGGCGGAGGTTGCGGTGAGCCGAGATCATGTCATTGCACTCCAGTCTGGGTAACAACAGTGAAACTCCATCTCAAAAAAAAAAAAAGAAAGAAAACTTACGAGGCCAGGCATGATGGCTCACGCCTGTAATCTCAGCACTTTGGGAGGCCAAGGCGGGTGGATCACAAGTTCAGGAGACCAAGATCATCCTGGCCAACATGGTGAAACTCCATTTCTACTAAAAATACAAAAATTAGCTGGGCGTGGTGGCAGGCGCCTGTAATCCCAGCGACTCCAGAGGCTGAAACAGGAGAATCGCTTGAACCCGGGAGGCAGAGGTTGCATTGAGCCAAGATGGTGCCATGTTAAGTCAAAGAAGGTAGACAAATTTTATGAAACGTCCAGAATAGGCAAATCTAGAGACCAAATGCAGATTAGTGGTTGCCAGGAGCTATGGAGTGACTGCTAGTGGGTAGATTTTTCTTCTGGAATTTGATGGTGGTGGATGTGGCATGGTGAATAGAGGGAAAGCTACTGACCTGTGCAATGACTTTAAGTGGGTAAACTTCATAACGTTAATTACATCTCAATAAACGTCTTACTTCAGATAGCCCTCCAATGAGTGAGTAACAACATTCCCCTGGAGGGTGTTGGGAAGGCAATTTGGTGTGTACCAAATTGAACCACAAAAAGGAGGGTTTACCCTTTAGTGATGATTGAATGCTACTTTTTTTTTTTTTTTTTTTTTTTTCAATGAATGAGAGGTTCTTGTGTTGCCTCGAACACATAGCC